GAGTGGTGGAGAGTGTTCGGCTCGCTTATATGTTCGGCTCGCTTATAAGGTACGTCATACGTAATTACTCACATATGGAGTGTATAGGTATTCCCAGGTAACTCCAAGTTTTTGGGAAACCACGAGCTAAGGGTTACATGGTACTTATATTATAGATAAATGGCAGACGTTGAATACCATCGGCTGAGGATATGGGTGCATTACCTAGGTAGGCAGGCACGTGGTAGGTAGTCTCGACTGTGAGCTTGTATTCCTGCTTTGTTTTTTTTCTTTTTCGGCGAGCTAAAAGCTTCCTAGTTTCTCGTTACATCCCGCCTCAACTTATGTACATCTACTCCAATGACCGATACTTCATCCTAGTGAACACGAAACATGCTGCGCAACTCTCCCGACCAGGTCGACTTTTTTTCAAGAACAAAAAAACACGCCGATCTCTTTGAATCCGTCCGGAAACCTTCGTTCCTCTCAACGCCGATCAATGGGTCCGGGGATGGCGCATGTGCGGGGTGCAGAAGTGATCTGCACAAAAAGTGCCCTGGAATGGCGCAGAACGGGTTATGGACGGCTTGACGGGCTAAATTGAAGCCCCTGCCAACGGTCCGGCGCCGCCGGTTCTTAATTGGAGGTGCTCTGCGTCGTCCTCCCATCGACTCTCGCCGAATTTCCAAATCGAGTACCACGGAACGTGTGGGGGTGCGTGGAAGATGCAAAGATCGTCACTTTTCGCTCTGGAGCTCGACAAGCTTTCCGGGAGCGGCACGGGGGTATTGACGCCTGGGAGGGCCGAAAATCAGGGGCAATCAATGGATCCGATCTGGCTGTTCTGGAATACATAAAAAGCCCGCCCCCCTGGCGGACAAAAGTCAACCGCTAGAGAAAGAAAGTCGTCACATCCCGTTAAGGTCATCTCTTCCTCCTCGGCAAAATGTTCACCAAGACCGCCCTCCTCGCCCTTGCGGCGCTCCCCTTCTCCTTCGCCCAGATTTCTGAGGACTTCGAGGCCGGCTGGGACGAGACGGCGTGGCCCATCTATGCGCCCGACTGCAACCAGGGCGGCGCCGTGGCCCTCGACACCACAAAGGCCCACAGCGGCAGCAACTCGATCCGTGTCGACGGTGCGGGTGGCTTCTGCGGCCACATCTTCTTTGGCACGGAGGCGGTCCCCGCGGGTGACTTTTACGTGAGGGTGTGGCTGTACGTGTACTCCTGAGAACGATCGATATAGTCCTGGCCCTAGATACTAACGAGATATTTTTTCTCTCCCAGGCAAGCCAGCACGGCCCTTACCGACTCCCACGTCAGCTTCATCACCATGCCCGACCCGGCACAGGGCGACAACAAGCACCTGCGTATCGGTGGGCAGAGCAAGATCCTGATGTACAACCGCGAGTCCGACGACGCGACGCTGCCCGCCCTGTCGCCCGACGGTATCGCCGCGTCGGCGGCCCTCCCGACCGGCGACTGGCAGTGCTTCGAGTACCACATCGGTGCCGACGGCACCATCGAGACCTGGCTCAACAGCGAGGCCATCGCCGGCCTGACGACCATCGACAACCCGTACGCCGACCAGTGGTCGGGGAGCTCGATCGTACCTAAGCCCTCGGGTGTCTACTTCGGCTGGGAGTCGTACGGCGGGGATACCAACACCTTCTGGTACGACGACATTGCCATCGACACCGCCCGTGTCGGCTGCGAGTAAGTGGTCTAGAATGGGTGGGTGTGTTAGTGGAGTGGGGAGCTGTACATATTTTGTTGTTAGACTTGGAAATACAATACCGTACAAAGTAGTCTCGTGAAGTCGATTCTTGAACCTGTGGTAAAGACTTTGGGGATATTAGCTAACGTCACCTGCTTCTTTTCTTTTCTTTTCTTTTCTTTAAAACCTTTTCATCGAGGCAAGAAATAATCAACACAACGCCAAACTCAGTGAGTTTCGTTCTTCGATCAATGCCACAACCGCGGACACAAACCCGGTCGGGCAATGGGGCATATGGGACAGGTGGTCCGGAAGTGCTGGATAAGAGAGCGACATGGATTTGTGGCTGTTGCTTAAGGGCTTAGGAACGTCATGTTCGAACTTATTCCGTATTTATCGGTGAGGATCATACAGTTATCGCAACCTGTACGACGAGGACAGCGATGTGATTGTAGTAGGGTGAACCTGAAGGATTTGTTTGAAGATGGAATGAGAGAGCCGTTGAGGAGTTCCAGCGATATACCCATCCAGGGTTAGGGTTGGCATGGTCCACTCTCATTGGGCAATTGGCCCGATTCGACCAGCTTGCCACTTGCGCGCTGAGATGGAAGCTGCGACTTGAACTTCCCACCTTCCCTCCTCGTCCAGCAACCGTTCAACTCCCCACTCGAGCAGTGCGCAAAGATGCACTGGCACGTGCGATACAACCCCGCGATCACTGCATGAGGATAATACTGACAGACGGCCCGAGATGATGTCGTTTCGGGAGCAGCCACAAATGCGGCTGCTCATGTTGCCTGTTGCGTCTTGTCTAGCTGCGGCAGCGCTGGCTGCTAGCCACGAAAATGCGCTACCCTCATACCACTACAACGCCCCGATTCGTGTGGAGTGCATGAACCGCAGCTCGTGGGTCACCTTCTTTGACACCCCCCAACGCTGGCCAAACTGAGTACTAACCCCGAGGCATCCAGAGAAACGGGTGAACACGTCGAAAACGACAAACACGAGATCCAATGGATCCCCTTCCCCATCTGCGAAGAGACCAACGCGCCACTCGAGTTCCACTACGGCGTCGAAGGCGAGCAAAACTGCACCATCCCAATGATCACCGACCCCTTCTTTCACTTGCTCGAGTTCTACATCCACAACGATGCGCCGCTCTCCTGCCGGCTGCCCGCGCGGCCCCCGCCCCACGTCGAGGTCGTCGGCGAGGAAACGCCTGAGCAAGAGTACATCCCGCTCGTGTTTGCGCTCGCAGGGACTCTCCAGCTGAGCCACATGCACATCAGCACGCATCTCAACGTGCTGCTACACAGCACGCCGAAACACCACATCCACCCGCACGACAGCGGCGTGTTAGACAGCGGGACGGCCTACAGCACCAGCCCGCTCACGCACCTTGAGGGCAGCGCCACGCGGCGGTTAGTTATTGGCGATCCGCTGCCCCTTAGCTTTAGTGTGCGGTGGTTCCCGACCCCGTCGTTGCCCAAGGTGGGCGGCAAAGTGGAATGGTCGGGCATGGGGGGACATATTTACGCGAGTACAATCTTTTACGGGCTGGTCTCGTTTTGTGCTGGCGTGGTGGTCTCGGCCGTGTACTTTTTTGGGTCTGTGCTACCGAAACGGCTGAAGGCGCGGGGGATGGGGGGTGCCACGCCCCTGGGTTACGGGTTGAATGGTGTGGGCAATGGTTGGGGGTATCAGAAACGGGCGGTGGATTAGGACAAACACTTAAGCGTGAGCGGTGGTGCGCGCAGTTGGGCTCGGAATGCACGACCAGAGATACCACGGCGTTTGGTTGGCTTGCATTCTACGTCTTTAGTTTGTGTGCTGCATGTTGAAACAACAGCATGCGTTGGCTTCTGCGCTCCTTCAATCCCAGTTTCTAAGTTCCTTGCGTTTTGGTTAGTGGCCTGCGGCCGATGTTGGGACCATGAAAGCCCACTACTGCGACTTCTTGGCGGCTTGCGCAGCATCCGCGGCCTTGATGCGGCCCAGGATCCGGAAAGCCATGTCGATGGCTCCGAGGGTGGCTAGTGCCAAGGTCAGATGGCAGGAATCTCAAAGTGGGCGCGGTCGACTTACGCAGAACAGCCCAGGCGGCATACACCTGATACTGCAGCTCGTGCTTGATCTCCGCCGAATACACCGCCTCGTCCAGGAACCCGGTATCATAAATGCAGATGAGCGTCGTGAACGCGACCTCGAGAGCATACACCAGGAACAGCAGCTCATCACACCCGGACGTGCCGCGGCGCTGCACGACAAGACGGTAGATGCCATACAGCACGGTGGGCAGCAGGAAGAAGGCCTCGAGGTGCATGAACAGGCCCATCCAGCTGTCGTGGCCGGACGCGGTCTCGACGGACCACTGCACGATCGGGTCGTTGTACTTTTGGATGTACCACTCCTTCATTTGGAAGGCAAAGTGCAGCGGCGAGCCGACGGGTTCGTACAAGGAGGCAGGCCAGATGTAGTCCAAGAGGTCCATGACTGGGGTGGGGGTTGTCAGCATATCTTGTTTGCCGAGAATTCCGGCCGTCACAGGGGAGGGGGAACATACAGAAAATGATGGGCAAGTTCAGGAAAAACCAGCCCACCCACACCTTGTTCCTCCACGTGTTGGTGTAAGTCGCCATTTTGGTGAGTTGGTACGGCGGATTGTCAATCTGGAGCGTATGGACGGGGGAGGAAACTGCAATGTTGACGGTGAGATGGTGGTTGAAGAAAGTGTTCGCGTCGCGTCGCCGTTGTCAGCTGCAAACTCGGCGGTTGACAGGGGTCCCCTGCCGGACCCGGGTTGCTTATGCAGGGATTTGCGGCACTCCCTTTTTCAAGATTCAGGGTTAGGGTATTATTGTACTTTCCCAAGTTTATATCTGGCCCACAAGGCCGTCACCAAGACAAAGCCATAGCACCGACCTTCCGTGCGGAGCTGGACCAAATCCGCAAAATCTGCTTGTTGATGTTGCAAACCTGGATGCATAAAGGGCAATGCCGGATTGGACTCCTGTTGTTGTGTGACATGCATGAACCGATGTCGCAAGTATCAAGTCTGAGCTGTGAGGAACTGAGGGAGACAACCGTCAGCTGCTGTTATTCAGGTTAAGAGGGATCCTTATGCCGTGTAGTCACCAGGCCGGTAGGTTTAGGGTGGGTGGCAGCGAGTAAAACAGCAGCTTGCGCGGCTGATGCTCCATATATATCTAGTTCCGTCTCACACTGTTGGCATTCGGATATTCACGTCATCGCTGAGCTCCCAGGTATCCTTCCAGATTCATGATGAATATTCAGTGAGACTAGATATTGCGCGAAAAGGGTTTTACAGGAACAATCCAATATGCTGACAATGAGTTCACCATCTCGACGACGACGTAGAAGCGAATTCCCTTTCTCCCTCTCGCCTGGCGGCTGGCGGGCAGTTGTCGCAATATAACAGGGTGCCTTTACATCAAGAGGAGATTCTTCCTCAGATTTTGATCTATGAACATAGGTATTGTAGGCAGTTCAGGTACCTAGGTTCCTCTTCCCCTTTTTGGACAATGAAGTCTCACAACCAAGAGGTTCTCCAGGTTGAACAAGAGAATATTATTTGGGGAGAGAGAGACAAGGGTGGGGTTGACAGGTGAGGTGCGCCGAGAATTTCCCGAAGCGGCAGGCGCCAAACGGCAGACGAAACCACCTGTTTCTGTCAGAATTCACCTCGACACATGTGACTCTGCTCAACACAACTTCGACAAAACCATAAAAAATTTCGCGGACAACGACCGGGCGCCGCCCTCACGCGCGATGAGAACCCATGCGGCAAACCGGTTTCGGGCTCCGTGTTGGGCCCGGCCAGGGGTTGCCAAGCTACCGGACCCGACAAATTACGTTATGGCTAGCTAAGCCAAATCCACCACGAGCCGGTCGCCTTGAGGGCGTGCTTTTTTGCGATACGCCTCGTGGCCCTTGGCGCAGTGCCTTTTTTGGGCTTGCAGCAAACAACATCACTGACCGACTGGCCCTATAACGCCGACAATTCCCCGCGCTACACCCGGTAGCAAGTCGTGGTGACGACAAGCAAGCGAGATGGGTGCGGACCTCGCCTACACAAACCCTTCCCGCCCCTCGTCCGACGACGAAGACGACGACGACGATACCCACGGGCCCGAGGCCCCACTGCACCCTGTAACTTCGCAAACGGACGGGGGCGACGGCAACAACGTGGCGACCTTCTATCGACTTCGCCGGCTCCCTCCCCAGGGCGGCCAAAATGCTGGCGCAGTGTTGCTGCCCGGGGAGGCCCCCGCGACGGTCATGTCGGTTTACATGATGATGCATCGGTACGGATATGAGGACGGCTGTGGCATCTGGGATAGGGCCTGGCGCTGACGGAATGACAGGATTCGACGTTTGGTCATTGCAGCGATTGGTACGACCTCTTGACATTGGCTGGTTGGTTTCTTTGACCTGACTTAGAGCAGACGATGTCTACACGTTCGACGAGCTCCGAGCACCCCACATGGACCATCAGATCATACGGCCCCTTGTCGATCGGCTGTACGACCCGCAAGATCCCGCAATCGGTCAGTGCTTGCCGCCCTTTGGAGATGAATGTATGAACGTCCTGCTGACTGCTACACCTTGTAGTATACTGTCTTGTCGCAAACCGAGTCCAGTTCCTACGACCCCGATCTGACGAGGCCCTGCAGCAAGGTGTCCACGAGTCGCGTGCCATACTCTGCGAGCTGGTCGCAACCCGGATCCTGCGTCGATACCACGAAGACCACCCCGGACGATCCGGCCTTCTCCTGCTCGCCAACATCCTCGTATCCGGCTTCGACCCTTGCGACACGGCGCCCGAACATGTCCGCGCTCGTCGGCCCCAGTGGGTGGTCCAAGACCGAGTTGGGCGCGAGCGGAAGTTGACGGCGTTTGAACTGGCCATCATATCGGAGAGTAAATGGTTCATCAAGTCGCCGGCCTGCCAGCTGGTTGTCGACGCCGTGCACAAGGGAATTGTGGTGTACACCCCGCTGTCCTTTGTCGATTTTCTCCCGGATCACTACAAGTACCATCCCGTCTCCCTATACGAACCCCGTCGGGCGGCGATCCTCAACCACCACCGTCTCATCGTCCCGCAAATCCGGAACGTGATCGAGTTAATGCACTTTGCGTTGCTCCTTGCGCTTTACATGCTGACGGTGGCGCACTACGGGTTCGGTACCGACTGGGATGGCGTCCGTCTCTGGGAAACGTTCTTTAACGTCTTTGCGGCAGGTTGGGTTCTGGAGCAATTTGCTGCTGTCGTCGAGCATGGGTGGGAGGTCCATGCCCAAAACCTCTGGTCGTTCCTCGACCTGACGTTTGTTGCCATCTATTTTTCCTACGGATTAGTCCGCGTCGTGGAGTTGATCGTCTCGGACGACACCTACTATGCCTTGCCTGTCTTGTGTACTGCGGCACCCGTGCTCCTGACGCGTATTGCCTTCACGTTGATGCCGGATAATATCGTCTTCATCGCTCTACACGCCATGATGCGCGACTTTACACGGCTCACGTTCATTGCGGTGTGGTGCTTTGCTGGGTTCGTCATGGGTCTGTTGTTTCTCGCGAGGACGAGCGGCGAGGATTCGCTCAATGCGGGCGTGACCTGGGCCACCATCACGAAATGGCTATTGTGGTATGTTTGTTTGCCCCGCTCATACATTAGGAATTGCTGGCTAACAACGGTTAGGATCTGGTTTGGTTTAGACGGGACCGGTATCGAACGCGCCGGTGACTTCCATGTGATTCTAGGCCCGACGCTGATGATCACCTTTGCGTTCCTCGGCAACACCCTGTTTCTCACGATCCTTGTCGCCATGTTGACCAACACATTTTCCAAGATCATCTCCAACGAAGCAGCAGAGGTCCAATTTCGCCGTGCGGTCCTCACCTTCCAGGGCGTCAAGAGCGATGCCATCTTCTCCTATCCGCCGCCCTTCAATATCGCTGCGATGCTCATCCTGCTGCCGATCAAGTTCCTGGTCGGCCCGATCGGCTTTCACCACATCAACGTCGCCGCCATCCGTGCCATCAACGCCCCGATCCTTTTGCTGATCGGCCTTTGGGAGCGGCGGAGCGTGTGGGCGAAGCGATCGAAATCGTCACGGCTCCGATGGCGCTTTTTCCCGGGGATGTCGCCCCACGCGGACATCCAAGCCGTGTTTCGATCGGAGCCGCCGCCCGATGTTATCGACGCGCTGGAGAAGATGGATGCTCTGCATGAGTTAGTCTCGCCCGATCGTCCTTCGGTGTTGCAGTCGCCCAAAGGACTGCGCGGTTCGGCGTCCTCAGTGCGGAGAAGGAGGATGTCTACGAGCAGCAGTATCAGACGGTTCGAAGCCTAGGGAAGTTTTGGAAAATTTCGATAGAAAAATCATGAATAAACCGTACGCCTAATTAATTACGAACCTGTCCCAAAATGAACGCTCAAATATGGCACATCCGTCCCGTACAGCAAGGTCCGAAAATCGAGCTAGTTGCTCGCCTTTTCCTTCATTCCCTCTCGCAAGATGGCCACCTGTTTCTTGATCTCCACCCACAACGGTAAATCATCCAAGTCACCTTCATCGTCGGTGTTCACTCCCACCCAATCCTCTTGGAGTTCCTCACTATTACTCCGCAGCCTCTCCACACTCTCCCACCCAGCCTCAGGCCCTTCCTCATCCTCTTTTGGCCAGTTGACTTCCGCATCCCCCGCATCTCGCGCAATCGTAATCAGCGACGCCACAAAGGCCTCCTGGATGTATGCAAAACTGAACCCGTCCGTGATCCCCGCGATAGCCTCGCACAGCCGATCGGGAAAAACAATGTCGCGGTTGCCGGCGAGCTTGCGCTGCCAGAAGTGGCAGTAGGCGATGCGCTCGGAGAGGTTGGGGTCGGGGAAGTAGTACTTTCTGTCGAAGCGGGACGGGCGTTTCTAGAGAGAGTGCGTGTCAATATCAAGTGCCAATACATAAATCATGGGGAGTTGTTGAAGGACAGGCGGAAGAGGTGGGCGTACTGCGATACCTGGATCCAGGCGTTCTAGGTGATTGGTGCTGCCCACGATGAAGATGCCGTCGTTGCTGCGAAGGCCATCGATCTCGTTGAGAAAGTAGCTACGCACCGAGTCGGATACGAGCGAGTCGAGATCTTCGAAGATGAGGTAGCAGGGGGCGTACTGCCGCGCTTTGAGGAAGATTTGGCTGATGCCGTATTCGGGGCCGGCGAACTCGGGGTGGGTCAGTATCACGGTGTGTTCTGTTCTTTTTAAAAAAGTGTAAAGACACACAACACAGGAAAGGACACATACCGAAGAGAAACTCCGGACATACAGAGCCGGGACGGGCTCTTCCCGGCTGTACAGCGTGTGCATCATGGCCTTGATCGAGATGGTTTTCCCGTTACCCGGCGGTCCATAGTAAATCAATCCCCGCTTCCATGGCACCTTCAGTCGCGTGTACGTATCCCTCGAGTCAAAGAACGACTGGTGGTCCGCAATAATCGCCTTCTTCATCCCTTCCTCTAAAATCACGGCATCCCACGACGCCTTCCGAATACTCTGGTACAACTCCGCGCTCTTCGTCCAGCGCCCGGCGTCCCAAACCCACACCTGTTCGTGCAGCTCGTTGCCCCACTGGCCCGCAGCCACCACGAGGGCGTCGGCTTTCGCGGTGTCGGTGGTCAACAGGTAGTGGTTCCGCACGTCTGGGTAAGAATTTGCTCCGTCGCGGCCGTCGACGAGGTACAGGATGAACTCGTTTTTTTGCCAGGTATACAGGAATTTGGCGAAGAGTACGTCCTGGGCTAGACTACCTGGGCTGCCGTCGATGCGCCGGGCCGGGGCGGTGTAGATCTTCCATATGAGCGAGGTCGGAAGCACCGGGAGACCATGATCCGATTCCTGGCTGTTTGCCGCTGGCTGGTCGGCGAGGGAGGTGAAGTTGGCGTGTCCGGCGGAGGCGTAGCCGAGCAGGTCTACGCCGAGGGAAGGGACGATGACGAGGTCGAGGTTGGGGTATTCCGCCTTGAGGGCCTTGGCGATGGTGGCGTCGGTGTTGACACGCCGGCCGGAGGAATGACGGAAGAATTCCCGGGTGATGTCGCTCGGGGCAGTGTTGATGCCCATGGCGGGTGGTGGGAAGTCCATCTTGTCGTTGTATGCCTATTGATGGTCTGGTCAATGAACAGAATGTTGGTTACGAAGTTGGAATGAGATGGCCGAGTCGAAGAATTGGGGAGTTGGGGTCGTCGTCCTTGCCATCAAGGTGTTGGTGCGGGGAACCTGGCATGTCAGCCTGTCTGAGAGCGCCACAGCGCCGGAGGTGAGGTGACACAGCTGAAGACCAAGCCAATAGGATGGCTTGATCAGCCCTGAATCGCCAGAAACGGCAGCTGACAGGCAGCAGCACACCGCTAAGAGGCTTATGTCTCGGATACCGTAGCATCTCTCAAGCAAGAGATGCGCATTGACTGGAAGTCGTGAACACGAAACGTCAGAAACTTTGTGTGCTTTCAACGCCCAGCCCCAATGAAACTCATCCCTATGAGAAGGTTGATGGAAATATAGCCCAAAGAGGATTTTGCCCGACTAGATCGCATAGAGTCTTGATCGGGGGTGAGATTAGGTACCTAGGTATGTTTTCACCCTTCTCGTTCGATGATTTTAACAAAAAGGACAGCGGAAGAGTCTCTCCCAAGCCTTTTTGAACTGTGCAGAAGTTATCTCGTATTCTGGGGAGTATTCGGTGCCGGAGGTGTTTGGCTGGGCGGAGGAGGATGGGCAAGGGTTTCTTTACATGGAACTCGTGGATGCGCCGACGTTGACGCGGTGCTGGGGCCAGTTGGGGGAGGAAGGGAGGGTGGAGCTGTGTAGAGAGTTGGGGGGGATGGTGAGGGCTTGGAGGGGGTTGGTACAGCAGCAGGGGGGGAGGGGGGGGTATATTGGTAAGTTCCACTGTTGTAACGAACTGAACCTTTCAGATATTACGACGACGAAGAAACACCGTCTAACCACAACAGGATCCGTCACCAAGCTCCCATCCAACGACATCCGCCTCGGCTGCCGCCCCCACCTCCACAGCCCCTGGCTCGGCCCACGCGCCGTAGAAAACCTCCACGATATCTGCTACATCGAACTCAAACCCGACACCCCAGAAACCCTCACCGCCCTCACAGCCATCACATTCACCCACAACGACCTCGCCCCCTGCAACGTCCTCGTCAGACCCTCCCCCGGAATACCTGGGACCCCTCCACGTGTCGCGGCGGTTATTGACTGGGCCCAGGCGGGCTGGTATCCGGCGTGCTGGGAATGGTGCAAGGCGGAGCTGACGGATATGCCGCTGGGCGAGGGGATGAGTAGGGAGGAACAGGCGGAGTGGAAGGAGAAGTATTTGCCACTGGCGGTGGAGGCGCTGCCGGATGAAGGGGTGTTTTGGCCATGGAAGCGATTTGCGGTTACGTATAGCTGACTGGAGCGTAACTAACCGAAGGTTTGAATTAATTGTAGTGATGAACTTACGTATCGGAATAAGGAGTTGGGCCCGACATTACCTGGGCTGTACTTGAAGCAGCGCTTGTGACCTCATATTAATGTACTATATTCTCGGTCCGGGGTGCGCCCGGGGGTTCCGGCAGCCGATATACGAGAAGGCGTTTGCCAGCGCGTAGACTCTATATATTTGCCTTTCGGCTTCCGATTACCTCGAGAGACGACAAGACATTTTATACGCAGCTCCTCAGCAAAATGCTATTCAGGATTACTTGTTTCCTTTATGAAATCAATCCCCCATTAAGATATTTCCATGAGGGCTTTCACCTTCATCGCCGCTGGCAGGACCCAGAGGCGGATTGTCAGCCTCTGGGACAGCCTTTTCCGCCTCCTCCTCCCGGTCCTCCATTGGGTCATTTAGGGGGTTCTGCTCGGTTGTCCTCTTAGTCCAGTCTTGGTCGGCCTACTAGACAAGTACTTACCGGGCGGCCTTCTTGTCGGAGTCTCCGTTGTTATCCGACATGATAAGAATTCCTGCTGTCCAGCGAGAGAGAATTCCCTGAACCATTTCTTGTACCCACCTGGGTACTCAAAAGGTCGCAATGGGTCGATGGAGACGGGTAAATCCTGGTAGACAGTGGAAAGCCGGGTATGCCTATTGTGTTGATGGTGATAATGGAGTTCTTGACAGGAAAAGAGAGTCATTCTTATAGGGAACAGTTGTTTCCGAATCAAGCTCTCTGTTGCATGCGTGACTCCGAACCCCTCTGCCTTCGAGTATTGCACAACCTTTCCCCCGCATCGCTCTGGCCGATTATGCAGGATAGTCGGGTACCTTTTACCCCGCCGGTACACCAGAACGAAACCATTGACCACTAGAACACGGTGAATTTCGGCAGGTTCCCATCCAACAGCAGAAATTGGCTAGATGCAACGCTGACATGCATCGCCGGACAACTCATATCGTCACGTCACGTCTGTGTCGTGGAACCACCTCCACGGACCAACTTACGTTATTAACGGGATTGCCCTCACCGGCGGTGCCTCAGCGTGAGCAGCCAGGGGTAAAGCATTCGGCAGCCACGTAAAATGGGGAAACGGCTCGCCAATAACCTGTATAAGTCGAGTCAGGGGGCTATTGAAAATCGTAAACGTATCAACACCGGGGATCCACGTGAGCCAAGCTCGGCACGTCTGTCCTGTCATGGGATGATCTCGCTGGGGCGTCTGCCTTTGGGCTCTGACCCCAGAGGCGTAATTATGTATCCCTAAGTCGCGGCCATGAAGCAGACTCAGAGACAATCACTCGTCCCAACGGCTTCTGGTCGCAAAGCAACAAACTTCGCGGTAGCGACAGTAGTTGGGTAAATTCCTCCCTCACATTGACGGCACTGGAATGGTCCTAACTTGCCTTCACTCCTCCCCCACACTCTCCACGTCCACCCCTACCGTCAGGGGAACCAATCTTGGCTTTGTCGTCCCCACTCAGTCCAGGGACGAGATGAGGGATGACTTGCTTCGGCTTCCCAAATCGTCCCAAATTCAAAGCCCAACATTGAGCTTCGGCATTCGGTCTTGGAAATATATTAGGGGGCTGCCAGTTGTGTATTAATTAGTGTTCGGAGTGAAGAGCCCCTTATCTCCAAAGCGTCGCCACTCGTTCCGGTTCACGTCTCCTGTCCTGGTTAGTCCGGCTCCGGCTCCAGGACACGGCTCGGATTAGTAGTGCTGTGGAAAGTGGGGTGAAGGTTCGGGCGCTGGGATGGGAGAGAGTTTTATTCGGTGTCACCAGTACCTCTTTTGGTTGACATTGGCCAGTCTGTATCAAGCATTGTCAAGGCAAGGGGCCGCAGCGAGCAGGGACTGGATGCTACAGTTCAATCAGAACTTGGTTATAATATTACGACTATTTTCACACACACCAGGCAAATCCACGAATCTAGGTGCAAGTGTTAATTCTGAAACGAAGTACGATTGAAGGTCAAAGGACTTGGCGAGATGACCATGAATGATGTGGAAGTACGCCTGTTTTTCTCGGAGACGCCGGCTGATATGCTACAGGCCCGTCCTGGAAGAATACAGGTCTGAAGACAGATTGGCGACCTAACTAGCATGCCTCTGCGCCAGGCCGTCACATCCTCGCGGTGCCGTGATATCGACGGTCTATTTTATATGCTCACATCGCAGGCTCATTAAAATCCCATAAAGGACGCAAAAATCTTCCACCGCGTGTTAATGCTCGAGTCTAGGAAGCCTTTGCTCGGGTTCAGTTCCACAAGCATACAGATCCCAGAGACGACGACGGGCGTGCCCTTATCGGCAAGGACGGCCGTGTAAATGAGCTCCCCGAGAGCCGGTAGGGCCAGCAGGCGGTTGAAGCCATCCGGATCTCCAAAAGACAGGACCATGAAGAGCGTAGAGACCGGAAATGTCACGCTCTGGAGGATGCGGAAGTCGCGGCTCCGTGCGCCTTGCTGCAAGAAGGCTATGCCGGCATTGCCGTCGGCGGGTATGCAACCGTTGAGGTTGTTGATCTGGTAGGCCACGGTACCCAGGCCACCACTCCACCTCTGAATGACAAGGGCAAAAGACGCCACCCACTGAAACAGCAACGGCCCAAGTGCAAACGGTCCGAAGACGAGAAACGCGAGGTCAAACCACGCCTCCCAACCGAGCACCGACATCCAACCCCCCGTGTCCTTCTGGCTCTGCGTGAAACCAAATGAGACGCACCACGCGACAAAGGCAAAAGGCGAGAGCACCACCTACAGGACGTTGAAGGGCGTGATTGTGTGAGAGCTACCATGTTGGGAGTGCGACGTCACCACGCCGTTGAAAGTTGTGGTTTGGGAATGTGTATAAGAGCTCGTGTGGTAGCAGTTGATGGGTGGTGCCACGAGCACGTACTGGAAGAGAGCCTGCGGCCAGGAGGGCATCAAGGCCGCGTCTTGGGGCGTCGCGCTGACGAGTGTGAGATTGTGGCGTAGGCGAAATGCTTCGATGTCTTCGGCGGAACCGGCGAGCTCCCAATGGCTAGGGGGGAGCGGCTCGACTGGAGCATTGTTGCGATTCTGCAATGTTGGCTTACGGGTGTATGAAGAACTCGTGGAGCGGTCGTATGCTGTGGAAACACCTAGAGCAGAATTCGTCGGTCCAGAGACGGCTTCCGTGAGAAGATGGGTAGCCGCGACAATTAGAGCGAGCCACGGCCGGCGCAACTCTAGCTGCCTAAGCTGGGACAACATGTTGAGCGACGTATACAGAGCTTTGGGTATCGGAATACACTAGTTGCCTGGCATTAGGACTGGCTAGGGTACAGGGACAGCTGGAGGAAGAAGACTTACTCGGGCCCATTCTGGGAGGTTTATTTCCTCTAATATTGGCATTCACTATGCAGCGCAAGACCACAAGGGGCGCAGCACAGCATAGCCACCGCGCGAGAAGCAACCCCGGCATATGAAACCTCGCGAATTTGAAGCAGACGGTCAACCCCTTATCCGTAGACTATCCACATGGTATGCAAGCCTTATTCCAGTAGAGACATGTAGCTTCTTTAATCCCCAGTCCTTTCTTCCCTGGTCCTATATAGTTCTCTATTCCTCCATCGGGTTACAAAGGCAGACAAACCAGGGCGCCTACCAGGGTGTGATGCCGTGCTAGAACGAGCCATACCCCATTAGGAAGGGCGCCATTCCCAGCAGGTGCAGTTGGGTGGACGGTCCGCGATGTGTATGTCCTTTTAGAAATTACTATGTAGAATACCGCGACATCAAAGCCATTCTAGTTGTACAGTCTTCATTGAGCACAACGGCGAGATTCTATCGCATTTCGAATGAGCGAGTGTGATCATGGGACCCCGGAATGGATTACCAGTGGGGGTGACCACCTCGAAGTTCGAACCGACATATAAGGTAATTTCACAATTACCTCAACACACGAGAGCTTCCTCAGCCACACGAAAACAATAATAATATTATAATAGTTCCAACATGAGGACGTCCAGGGCGTGATTGGTGGGATCACGGCGGGGTTCTCGGACGTCGGACGTCGGACTTAGGACTTTGGGGCTGGCTGAAGGTTGGATGCTTTGCCCGCAGACTCACCTTCCATGCACTCCATTACAGCACGGTTGTATGGAAGGAATGCGGAAATAGGCTAGCGTACGTCAGCCTAGGTCTCGGGTTGGCCCGGTCGCCGTAGACCGATGTTGTCAATTCCGTATCGCAGCGGGAAGCTGGTCAGGTTATCTCGAACATTTCACAGTACGACGGTTTGGGAAAGGATGAACCGACCCAACTACTCGTACATCACCCGCATACCTATAAGTAACGGACAGCCAGGCCACCAGGAGTCGGATCAAGCATTGTCCAGCCCTCCATTATTTCAACCTCTAACTGCCCCCATACACTGCACAATCGTGACTTCCTAACATCACTCAACTTACCCGCCAATCTAGTCCCCACGCTCCGACCCAATCAGCCATGGCCTACGACAAAGTCATCGTCTTCGGCGCCACCGGTGACGTCGGCTCCAAGGCGGCTCTCACGGCGCGCCAGCTGGGCGCCGAGGTGGTGCTGGCGCTGCGCGACCCCAGCAAAGCCGTGCCCGGGCTCAGCGCCGCGCAGGAGCAGGCCGGCGGCTTCGAGCGCGTGCAGGCGGACCTGACACAGCCCGAGACGCTGCGCGCCGCTGTCGAGCAGACGGGCGCCCGCGCTGTCTTCATCTACGTGGCCCTCGCGTCGCCGGACCACCAGCGGTCCTCGCTCGAGGCGCTCAAGGCCGCCGGCGTCGACTGGGTCGTCTTGCTCAGCAGCCTCAGCGTGCAGGGTGACCCGCGTGCCATCGGCGCCGACGCCGCCTTCATCCCGTTCGCGCACGCCTCGGTTGAGGTCGCGCTGCAGGACGTCTTCGGCCGCGACCACTACGCCGCCGTGCGGCCGGGCTGGTTCGCCACCAACTTGTACAACTACAAGCCCGCCATCGCCGCGAGCGACGCCCCGCCCATCATCTCGCCGCTGGGGCTGTGGGACTTCATCGCCGCCGAGGACATGGGCCGCGTGGCCGGCCATCTGCTTGTCCAGGGCCGCGCCGCGCTGACCGAGGGCAAGAACGAGATCTTCATTGCCGGCCCGCAGCTCACCACCCTGGGCGAGGCCATCACGGCCATTGGCAAGGTCCTTGGGAGGAACATCAAGGCGCAAAATATTGAAGACGATGAGGACGCGTTCAAGGTGGTTAGCGACGCTCACCCGCACATGCCCGAGCCTCTGTCCAGGCAGCTGGTTGCGGAGTATAGGAAGGCGGAGAAGAGGTCGCCGCTGTACGACATGCTGGACGAGGCCATTGCCAACGTACCCAAGTACGGCGGCGGCCAGCCCGGCATGACCGTCCAGCAGTGGGCCGAAGCCCACGCAGTTAACTTCAAGTAGCAGGATGAGTGGCTGAGCTGGTGGTACATTGGACATTTCGGTGGTGTTGCGGGCTCGTCAGGTATTAAACAAATTACAACCGTGACCAGCTAATAATCCGAGTATGCATGGAATGAATAGAGCCAGCCGATGTTCATCTGACCCCTACCACCTTTATGTCTTCTCCCCCGTCAGCCTTGCAATTATGGATTCGGTATGGTGTGATAATACCCGAAAGAAGGCTTCGAGGAGCTTGAAGTATATAGGAGGTAATCACCCACGCCTATGACAGACCCGGGTACGTTAATTCCCGAACGTAAGCGTGGCACGGTGCCTTCTGACTCGTGTAACACAGCACGCCCGAAAACCACCAGTCCACCAACTCCCTGGAACCACGATATTTCGGGAGATCATGACGGCGCAAGTCCACTGGCGTCCACAGTGACATATGTCCGAACCCAGCCGAGAGACCCTTACCGGATATTGTGATTATTAGCACTACCTGTCTCCAACTGAGCGGCTTTTACGTTTTGACCCGGTTGACCAATTTGGCTAGAAATAAATCACTTCCACGTCCGATTGAAAATGTGTGGGCAAGGTGGATGAAAATGTGAGTGACAGCAAGATCACTGGGTAATTATCCTTAATCTAGGATGGCTCCGTTGATGCGTGTGTGATGAAAGCGTCGCGTTATGCATTATCTACGTGCTTTATCAACTGTTATAAACTAACAGTACGTATTTTGTCTCCCGTCCTGGTATAATGGGTTGTCACACGTTTCCAACAGTTGGCTTTGGATATCAGGCTCGCGGATATGATCATGAACCTGAGCTTAAACTTCCAAGTACCTCAGAATCCCCGAGGTTCCATGCTTGAGAGGCCGGTGAAGATGCCGACCTAAATCCAATCGCGCGGGTCGCAGCTATCCTACCGAAACTTATACCCTGCTGTTCAACGCAAATGGTGCCATCATTTAATTATCACCTAATTATAAACAGCATAGATAAGTAAGTGGGGTGGCGACGTTGACGAAAGCGACCAATTTCAATTATAACGGCAAAGATAATTTCCTAAAAACAGTTGCAAAAAGTAAGAGAAGGAAAAGAGACAGAAAATTGAGACAAGTAGTTCGTATTTTAGGTTTAAACGTCAAAGGATGAGATGAATTAATGAAGGGATGAAGGATGAACGTTACACTTGGAAAGCCAATTCCCACATCCCACGCTCATCACAAACCGCAAGGTGAGATTTCAATTAAACCAAGTTTACTCTGGTTGACGTTCTCTCAATATTGTGCATAGCACATTCCCCCACGTTCCCAGATCATCACTCATAAATTTTCATTTCAGAACACAAAAGAGATAACGGAAACAACGATCCACGCCCAGCGTTCTCATCTCATCCCAGGTCTGTGACTGTTCTGCAGGTTGCCGGGCTACAGCCAATGAGAGGTGTGTTGATGAATGGCGAATCCCCACTTCGTGTTTTTCTTTTTGTGCAATCCAATCATTTTCGGGGTTCGTTCAATATTTGGGGGAGCGACATACCATGACACAATCTGACAAGCGCGGCGCTCATCCCTCATTGGCGCGCAGTTGATAAAAGAGCGGCAGCGTCAACATTGGTTGCTGCTGTGACGTTCGCCGGGCTGTGCAGAAAACAGGCAACAAGTGACAAAACACAACAAACGAGAGCGGGATGCGGCTTTTCTGACTGAGAGAGACGCGCGGGTCTCGGGTCGATCGATAGGGAGTCAGTTACGAAGAGGTAATTAATTGGGTAACCAAATTAACCGGGAAGTTGAATCGCAGAAAAAACGGAATTCTCGTCCTGCCATCTCCGCCAAATCCCCAGCCGTCAACACCAGGAACCATGCGGGAAAACAGCCGTGAGGGCCTCATCTGGGACGATAATGGCCTGGGCCCCGAGCCCCGATGGACCCGGGACCCAGATCTCCGCGCCGTCTTGCGCGTCTGTCGTCGGCAACTCGGCATCCCCGACCCAGCTCCTCCCAGCGAGTATGGCCCAAGAAACAGAGGGGATGCCGAGCACGAGGGGGACGACAGACTCAACGTGACCTTTCACGCAGACGGAACCTTCAACAAACTCTACCGCGTCACCACTACCAATGCCCCCAATACATCGTTCTCGTTATTCACACCCACATATCGATCCAACCACAGCATCGGAGGACGCAGTAATACCCGCCACTTCATCCTACGCGTCTCTCTTCCTGTCGACCCGCGCAACAAAACCCTCGGCGAGGCCGCGACACTGGAACTGGTTCGCCACAAGACCGACATACCCGTGCCCAGGGTGGTCGCGTTTGATGAGACGCGCAACAATGAAATCGGGTACGAATGGCTGCTGATGGATTGCATGACCGGTGTGCCGGCGCATTACCGCTGGCGCAAGATGTCGATGCGGGAAAAGGAGGTGCTGACGGTGAGAGTGGCGGATTTTCAGGCGCAGTTGTTGCGATGTGGTGGCTTTGGTGATGGGTTCCGCGAGATTGGGACATTAGGGACGGTCGGGGGTGATTCTGAAGGGAGCCAACAAGGGGCTACTGCTGCTGCTTCGGCGACGCCTGAACCGGGCCCCGTGGTGTCGAGTTTCTTCTTCCTAGGCCAGCGGTACTACTACCCTATCTCGCGGGGTCCGTTCAGTTGCAGCCATGATTGGCTCCGCGCGCAGCTGAGTATCATCATCAAGGAGCACACCACGGCGCTAGGGCAGGCCAATAGCGAGCTGGATAAAGAGTATGCGGAGTGTGCGCTGCGAGTAGCTAGGAAGCTGTTGCGGATGCTGCACAAGATCTTCCCGTCGGTGATACATCCACCAGAGAGGACAGTGCTGTGGCATGACGACTTGTCGCTGAAGAATATCCTAGTGAGCCCGAACGGGGCGGTGACGGCTGTTATTGGGTGGTATGTTCATTCTCTTTTCGTTTTTGTCCTTCGTTTCCCCTTTCCCTCCACTTTTCTTTCTCTGGGAGAAAGCGAGAGAGAAAAGTACACTAACACACCCAGGGAATGTGCCTCGGCCATGCCACGCTGGGTGGCCTCGCAAATGCCCGAGTTTCTCCGCGGTACCGTGCGGAACACAAAACCGGATCGCAACTGCTACACCGACGTCGAGAAGGGTCTCTTCACAGCGGGCGCGAATGCTGCGGACGACCCTGACGACGGGCTCGACAACGAAGGCAAGACGGAGCTGTACTGGATTCACCTGATGGAATACGAGCAGACGCAGCTACGCAGGGTGTACGAGGCGCGCATGCGGCATCTCCGACCGGAGTGGGACATGGAAGTGGAAGAAGGCGCGTTGAAAGTGGATTTCCTCGGGGCCGTGTCCCGGTGTGGTTCGGGGTTTTATCTCCGCCGGATCGAGCAGTGGGTAGACGCCATCGAGCGCAAGGAGTACCTCCCGCTCATGGAAGTACTGAGGACTGGGATTAAGAAGGAGTCGAAGGAAAAGCCAGCAACGGCTACCGCGATGACGAAGGCGGTGAAAACACTCTCGCTCGTAAGCAGATTATCTTGATAGACGCATGGCTATGATACCCTTGAAGTTGTTAAAAAGGACCACATCTCTTCTGTTGTCACTGGTGAACAAACCACTTCCCGCCAAGCGCATTAATTACGAGAAACCTTAGGAGTTACCTCGCCCCTCTGGTGAGTTCTCTCTTTCCTGCCCGCCTGCAAACTTAGCCTCATACGCTAGGGAAAGGCAGATCACGTTCTGCTGGAGCTGATAGCACATGGGCGTAGCCGGTACGTAAGGCCGAAAATTCACCGGAACTGGTGTTTAGAAACCCTAACCCTCGCATATCGGGCCCGTGGAAGGACGGGCCGGGTGGAGTGGAAGACGTCAACATCTCCCGCGCACTTTGCCTGAAGCAGAGCTGCGGGACGGGTTTCCCTCCGGAGCTATCAGTTTTGTTGGATTTTTTGCGCGGAGGCGGGGTGGCCGGGTGTTAAATCCCTCGGGCGAATTCGATTTTAAAAGCCAACACACTTCCTTATCTGACCTTAACTTGCCCGTTAATTACCTGGTACTTCAGTCACTTACTCGTCAAGTTACAAGTACTTCCTAGTTATATCTTTCGTACAGTATAAGCTAGAGAGAGACACGACCAAGACACGTCAAAATGCCCGTCTACTGCATCACCGGCACGAACCGCGGCATAGGCCTCGAGTTTGTCCGGCAGCTCGCCCAGTCCCCAGACAACACCATTATCGCCGCCATTCGCTCGCTCTCTTCGGACCTGACCGAGCTCAAGGCCGCCGCTTCTGCGTCGACCCACATCCTCGAGTGCGACACCGGCAACGTCACCTCGATCCACGCCTTTGTCAAATCCGCAGCCCAGATACTCGGCGAGAACCAGAAAATCGACTTCCTCTTCAACAGCGCGGCCGTCAACCTCAAGTCTTCACAAAGCTCCCTCAACCTCGGCGTCGACGAGCTGCACACGCAACTGTCCATCAACGTCCTTGGCCCGGCCAAAACCGTCGAGCTATTCCTGGACGCCGGTCTGCTCTCGCAGAATGTGCGCGTGCTCAACATGACCTCCGGACTCGCCAGCCTGCAGCTCACGGCCGGGGGCAGCGGGCGCAAGTGCGCCGGGTATTCGATCTCCAAGGTGGCGCTGAACATGCTCACGGTACACCAGAGCGACGACCTGCGGAAGCGGTTGCCGGGTGCGGTGGTTATTGTGCTAGACCCGGGGTGGGTCAAGACGCGGATGGGGGGGGCAGGGGCTCAGTCAGAAGTGAGCGACGCAGTTGGAGATGTCCTCAAAGTGGTGCATGGTCTGAAGGATGAGGACAATGGCGCCTTCTTCCACCACACAGGGGAGAAGATACCTTGGTAAGGGGTATCTGATATGTATGTATTAATTGTGTAGGGGAAGAGGAGGCTAGACCAAAAGAAAAGAAAAAAACTGCATTCTGGAACGATTCACACTGCCTTTCGCTCACCTAAAACAGTTCCACCACAGGTGCGTTACAGAGCGGACACATTATTTACGCAGGGATATGCTCCCGCAACAAGGCAAACAACACAGGCCAGAAGGCCGTTAGGACGGCAGAAAGCGCCGCGACGAAAAGGAGATGCCAGACGCTAAACCGCCGGTCCCGGTGGTATCGCCGTTGCGCCATGGGCCCAACCATCTTCTCGATCGGTGCAATGTGTTCCTTCTTGCCGACTTCGAAACCGACCTGCATGCCGGGAAGCCCGTCGAGGCTGTATGCATTCTTAAACGCCCAGTACCTGAGTCGTCAGCAACTTTCATCTATCGTAAGGGCCGACGAACGTTCTCAGTGATGTAGAAAGAAACACCTACCTCTCCCTGGCCTCCTTCTCGACGCCATTGTTATACTTCTCAGCCCGCGCCGAAAACGTGCTGTGTAAGGCCGTGCGGAAGCTCTTGAACTCGTAATACGGTACGTTATACCCGCACGAGCTGTTGACCTGGTGGATATCCACGATGATAATCGACCTCGAGGAATCGATGACCGGCACGTCATGCTTCTTCACAAACTCATCAAATGCCCGCCCGTCCCCCGCCACATGTCCGCGGCGCTCGAGCACCCGGCCGTGGCCGAAAAATCGGACGATGCGCGGTGGGCCGTCGAAGGCATTGAACATGACGGTGATGCGGCCGTTGTCCGGCTCGTACAGGTGCGAGATGGTCTCGTTACCGCTGCCGGTGAAGTCCATGTACCAGAACGTCTTGTCGTCGAGCAGGCCAAAGTCGGCGCCGCCTTTCGGGGACACATTGACGTGGCCGGTCGAGGAGAGCGGGGCGGTGGCTACCCAGAACAGTTTCTGCTCGAGCACCCATTTCGCGAGGTTTTCGGGGACCGTTTCGAAGAATTTACCCATTTTGGTCGGATGACTCGATGCCTGATGTTTTAATGGGTTTGATTGACTCCCGTGTCTGAGTCGCGGGAGTCGCGATTCGATTTTTAAAAGCTGTGTAAAAAAAAGCGGGAAAATGAAAAAGATCGGGAAAACAACCGTCATCCAGGCTGACCCGAAATGATTCACCGAGAGGGGTCCAACCGGACGCACCGTGGTCACGCCTTCCGTTCCGGCATCGGGTCGGACGGGCTTCCGCCGTGTCACCGTTGACCTGTGTCAACGCCAATGGGAGCGGGCCGGCGGCCGGGCTTCGGCGGCAAGTTTGACTGACCCGAAGGATTTTTACCAAAAGAATCCGCTAAACTTGGCTTAAAACTGAAGGCCATGGGCGGTCTTGATTGGTTTGTGGGTATTGATGGGGAAAGTCTTGGCGTGGCTGTATTCCGTAATTAGAACCATGGTCGTGAAACACACTTTCTTTCACACATTTGGTTTCAAACACCGTGCGACTGTTGTCAAATGATGGAGAAGCATCACAGTGTTGGTGGAACCCCTTGATTGCCCAGTTACACCATCGATTTGGTTTACACCCTTGAAGAATGTCGTCTTGAAAAGACCATTCGAAGAGCCGACAATCGTGTTCCGTCGCATTCACCTGCCCAATCGCGTTACAACCTCGGCCCTGTGAGGTGAGGCGTGGGCCCAGCTTAATTTCCCACGAGCAGGGGCAGCAACAGCGACGGCCAGAGTTGTGCCGGCTGACCTCCCCTGAGAGTCCGGTGGCCGCCAGCCCGAACGTGCAAAGATGGTTTAAAAGGAGCAGGTGGTCGTCCCCGCGCTGGACGCGCAGGGCGCGCTGTTATCTGCGGATTTTTTTTTTAACGAATGTCGAAAACAAAAACACCATTCCACCATTGATTGAACCGCACTCTCCATACCACCTAATTAGCGTCCGTGTACACCTTTTCACCATGCAACTCACACAACTCCTTACTGCCGCGCTCCTCCCGGCGAGCATTCTGGCGGCCAAGGCAACGGCGGCAACCCCCGACGACGTCCACGACGGCTATGTTCTCTTTCCGGGCACCGAATGCGCCATTGTCGACACCTCTGCGACGAATTGCCGGACAGGGCCGGGCACGAAATACCCGGTTGTCACGCAATTGGCCAAGGGGACAATTGGGTCATTTAGCTGTGTCAAGACGGGAGAATGTGTCACGATTGACGGGTTTCAAAATTGGTATGTCGGGTTGACGGGGATGCCTCAGAAACGCTGCTTTCGAGGTCAAGAATCGGTTGCAGTGACTAACATTTCCGCAGCGGGTGGCATCTGGTCCACTACAAGGGATATACGTGTTATGTGAGCGGCCAATACACTGATGAGAATTGCACACTTGGTATGTTTTCTCTTTCCATCCCCCGTGCTTCTTCAGCTGACGTAGGATGTGTGTCTAGCAAACCTTGGGAGATGCAAGTCATGAGTTGATATCTTAATGGGTGGCGTTGGCGGATGTTAGTACTTTAATATCATGCAATGTACATACACAGGAGTCTAGTCATGTCTCACAAGAGGACTCCATTTTCACTTGAACAAAAAATAGACCGGACACCAGATTTACTTCCACATCATTCACACCTATTACCCAACCCTAACCCTTGATCTCCCCCAATCACGTGCCTTCACTTTTGCCCAGTTGTGCAGAACGGCTGGGGCTTGGATCCACTCTTCTTCCCCGACTTCCTCGATTGAGAACGAACCTTGAAGGAGGAACAAGTTTGCTCTTACATAAACAGGTAAACATGTCTGCGTTGGCTCAGCAAATTTAACCCCTTCATTTTCTCTTACCGCCGGTGGCCTTCTTGTTTGGAGTTTTTGCTTGTCCACCATGCGGACCCGAAACTCGCAAACCAAATCGCAGGCTCCAGGGTCCCACTTTGAACCCCAGGAGAGTTCGAGTCCAGAGCACCGAAAGGATGCAACGACACCGGCCGTCCTGCGTGTGGCCGATGATTTCTCGCGGTTGCGTGCTAAGGAAGAGACAGACGCAAGCAGCTCGGAGACCCAGGATCGGCAGATTGGGGTTATTGTCAAGCATGAGCCCAGCATGGAAGACGCTGCATCGGCAGAGGGCTCCCAGGCCTCAAGCTCTGAGGATGCTGGAGCCGAGGACTTGTCTGCGCCCTCCGAGTATTACCATGACACCATCGACCGCATCATGAAAAGCTTCTGCATGACTCTAGAGGCTAAGATCGACCTGTTGAAGGACGGCAAAGTGCGCTCAGTCGCTAAAGGTGGAAAAGAGACCGGATCTCATCCTTTACTGGCTGGTGCAACGAAAAGCTCAACCGAGAAACCTGCCACGAAAGTGTTCTTCCGCAAGCGCTCCAAGAAGACCAGATCACTCCAGGGCTGGGCTCAGCCTCGGGATAGGCCAGCCCCAGCAGCTCCGGCTGCTCCTTCGGGTCCTCCCCGCAGCTCCCAGCAGCAGCCGCAGCCGCAGCAGGCACTCTATTCCGCCGCCGCCCCAGCGTTGGCCTCAGTGTTCCCCCCGACCCCGGCACTCCTCGCATCTAAGCCGTCTCGGTACACCCCGTCTCCGGAAGCCCGTCGCGGAGGTTCACCTCTTCCACCACCACCTCCGGCCTTCTTTTCGGCACCACCCGCTCTTCCTCTCGCCGAGTCCCTCAGGGCTCCCGCACCGTCAGGAGCCCGTCCTCCTACGTCGGTTGTTGCATTGAGGGGGACGGCTCAGCCTTCAGAACCACAGCCTGAAGCGGCTTTGGTTGCTCCGCGACCCGGGAGCGCCTTCGGAACGGCAAGAAGTAGATTGAGATTTAATGATGGCGGCATGCGACATCGCAGCATATATAGAGGGGCTACCGCGGCGTCTTCCCAGTCGATTGTCGGGCATGAAGAAGAGGATGATGATGAGGACGAAGAGGAAGAAGACGATGCAGATGGGGACGACAATGTGGAATTTGATCTTCCCTTAGCGTCAGGATCTGACCTCTTGAACGTTGATCCCGACATGTCCGAGGGGCTTGTTGTGACGAGTGACGCATTAGATGACCTCGCGTCAGTGTTCAGTATCCCGGAACCCAGTCCACCGGTTCAGGTTCAAAGGACCGCACCAGAGCTGCTACTGCGGCAGGCTTCCGAGACGGAGGAGTACAAGCCCGCACGAAAGCCTAAAAGGGGTCCTGAGGCGGAAACCCAGCATCCGATTCCCTTACCGGTGGCTCAGCTTCACGAAGCAGACGGAGATGGTAGACGCAAAAAGCACAAGGCTGTCCCGCCTTCTAACACGGTTGGTGGAGGGGACTCGGGGAAGTTTGCCTGTCCTTATTTCAAGAGAAACCCGAAGAAGTACCGCGAGTGGACGTCCTGTCCTGGTCCGGGATGGGACGAGGTGCACCGGGTCAAGTATGTTGGGTGGTCAAAGTATGTCGCGAGGTTTCATGGCTAATAAAATTCCAGAACGCATCTTTATCGACGGCACCCTCTGCCCATCCAATGTCCCCGCTGTTGGGATGTGTTCAAGGTCGACACCCAGCTTCAAACCCACCTTCAGCAGGACCCGCCCTGCTCAGTGCAGCGGAACCAGATGCTGCAAGAGGGATTCACAAAGGAGCAGGAGAAGAGGCTGCGCAGTCGCAAGAAGACGCATGCGGATATGACGGGTGAGGACAAGTGGCGTGAGATTTACACAATCCTGTTTCCAGACGACAATCCGAGCGTTATTCCTTCGCCGTGTAAGTGGAATAAATATGATACGAAAAGCACCGAGATATGTATTCTAATCAAAACAGATTACATCGAATCCGAGGACGGGTCTGAGTATCCTGGATCTTCGAGCACAGAGCTCGAGGACTACGCCACATTCATCCGTCGGGAGATGCCAACGTTGGTGCGGAGAGAATTGGAAACACTGTTCCAAAACGAGTTCCAGGACGTCGAGGAGCGGCTCCGGCCGCGGATTGCCGATATCGTGCTGAATCTCCAGCCCAAGCTGCTCGGCCTTTACAAGCAATCACAGATGCCGTTGAGTGAGTATGGCCCGGAACAACAACATACTGGGACCAGTGGAAGCGAAATATCATCCACGCCACAGCTCTCACAAGGTTCTGGGCCAAAGGCGTCTGGGCGGGACTCGACCCCTGAGACGGTCTTTGGGCCTGACGACCCTGGGAACAACTTTGATGCCTGGAATCTTTATCCAGAGAATCAGCCGCAACCGCAGTTCGATATGAACAGCACTGGCCCGGGGCTGGACTGGGATTTTGAGTTTGACAAGCTTCTGAATCCGGCCCTCTTTACGCCGGTAGACGCAGTGCCGAATCTCTACCAAATCTCCCACAATAATCCAGGATTCCCGTCTCAACCCTAGACCCTACATAACCGCCCATTCTGCGTCGGTAACTCTCCCGCTCCGACCATATGCCACCGCTCACTCCCCGGCGTTGTCGGCGCCCAAAACACACCCCACGGATCCCGCTCCTCCTTGATTTCCACCAACCTGGCGTAGTTTCCCCCAAAGAAACTCTCCTGCCACCCGGGCTCCAGCACATCAGCCTCATTCAAATACGCCCCACCCCCCGGAGTTGCCGCCCGCAACATATCCATGTACCCGTTCAGCTTCTCCTGCTCGGCCCGGCCCTGTGCCGGTGTCACCGTCCCCATGTTCACGGGACTAAACACATCCGCGTGCATGATGATATCCCGCCACAGCGGGTTCACAGCGGGTGCTACGGAGGGATATCCAGCCGCACGCAGTGTCGGCGCCATGTTCAGGCCGTGGAATCGATACCCGGCTGCGATGATCGCGCGGGCTGCGCGTATGACAGCGGGGAATAATGTCGTGGTGTTGGTAAATGACGACCGGGGGAACAAGCGAGAGGCGAAGTAGATGTTTCCAGGCATAACGCCGTGACTGCCAGTTTGGGCGGAGTACAGGATGGTGGTGGGGGTTGGTAAGATGAAGGGGATTCCGAGAGAGGTGAGGGTTTCCTGTAGAGGCTGCAGGTAGTCAGTGGCTTGGGATGGCGTGAAGCCGGGGAGTTCGATTATGGCTTGCAACTGGACGCGGTCAGGACTGCCGAGGGAAATGCCATTGGTCAGGATGAAACCGCCGACTTCGACAGTCGGGAGGGCGAAGGCGTAGACGGCGTGGAAGGCGGCCCAGAAGGTGTCGGGGTTGGTGATGGTGGGATTGGAAGTCGGAGTTGAGGAAGTAGTGTTGCCGAGGGAGATGTTGAAGCTTGCCTGGGTCAAATAGATGGGGGGATGTGCTTTGACGATGACAGAGGTTACGATGCCGTAGGTACCTGGGTTTGTCAGATGGGAGCAACAGACACGAAATGCACAGAGAAAAACAGACAACGGGGAACAGAGAAACGGCCACCTACTTCCGCCTCCGCCTCGCAACGCAAAAAACAGATCCCCATTCGTCTCCGGATCGACCGTCTCATACCTTCCATCAGCCGTGACCACCCGCAGCGCCAGCACCTGATCCACGCCCAAGCCAAACCGTGAACTCAACGGCGAGTGCCCACCCCCGGCCATCCAACCACCATACAGTCCCACGGTCAAACACCCGCCCGCTACCAGGGTGACATTATACTGTGCGGCATATTGCAGGGCTTCCCAACCTTGCAGACCCGAGCCTACGTGGGCAGCCGGGCCGGAGTAGTTCCCCCCGGGTTGGTGGTATTCGGGCAAGAACTCGAAACCTTTGAGATGGTGCGTCCATACGCTAAGGGAGCCGGCACCGGCGTTGCGGCCGACAAAATCGTGGCCGGTGTTTCTAGCCTGTTAGTAAATAGAATGGGGGGGCATTGCAGGAAAACACACTTGATAACCAGCCGGATATTCCTGTTCCTAGCAAAGTTGACCGCCGCCTGGACATGCTTAACCGTCGTAGCATTGACTACATACACCGGGAACCCCCCCTGGGTGCAATTCCCCGTGGGGTTCGCAGACAGCAGACAGGTATTGCCCTGCGGCCATTGCGTGAGAATGGACAGCGGGTCGTCGAGGTAAAAGCTCGTCTGGCTTGCCTGGGTGCGGAGAAACGCGCAGGCGTCGGCGTTAAAGTTGGGGGAACTGCGGTAGCATACTGAGGCGGGCGGGAGGGGCTGGAGAAGAGCGCCTTGGAGGGTTTTGTTGAGACGGGACCAGTCGGTGTCGGTGAGCCAGGAGGGGTCGCCGGGGAATGTTTTGCAGGCTGGGAGGGTGAAGGGGGCGTGGGTGTTGCCGAAGGCAACGGAGGGGAAGGTGGAAATGTCTTGGGCTGTGAGCTGCTGGGCAGTAGCTGGAGGTGTATTAATGGCCAGGGCTTGGATGCCTGGGAAGACAGCGGACATGAGAATCTTGGAGTAGTGCATGGTGGATACGATTCAAAAGCTTGAGTTTACGTTTCGTTGTTACTGGGTTTTTACGTCGTCCTTATAGGTGTGTGCTCCTAGATGCCTCACTTGCTCTCTAACATCGTTCGCTTTACGCTCGCCCCGAGAAGCGCATAGCTTACCCATCATGGTGTAAGCGGGGAACCCTGACTGCCTGCTCTGCATCATTTGTCGACGTGACGTTTTGATCCTCTACAGCCCGTGTGCTCAGCTCGACCTATCCCGCCCTGTGAGAGGGTGCCATTGCATTCGTTCGAGCAGGGGGACGGTTAACGCTGGTATTTAAATACCCGCTGTCTGAGACGGGAGCTAGGCTTCCCGAATCGGTACGGATACGGTCCGGGATACCTCCCGGGGCAATTAATTTATTCCCACCCACCAACCCGGTTCCCCGAACTCTCCAATACGACCAACCTACTTCCCCTCATTCAACTCATCCACGCGCTTCAGAAACAGCCGCGCCCGCTCCAACGGCTCGTCATCCACACTGCCGAGCTTGGCCCACCCATCCATCGCCATGCGCGCATACCGCGTCGCATTCGCCATGTCCCCCTTTAGCAAATGCAAGTCCGCCAGCGTGCCGTGCCACTCTGGCAAGAAAGGCGGCGTTCCGTCCCAACCGGCGACCAGCAGCCACTCGTGCGTCATGGTGATGGCGTCGGGGTAGTAGCCCTGGTCGCGGGCCGACGCGATGGTCTCCTGCAGGCTCTTGACCTTTTCGCGCCACGCTCGGGACTCGTTGGCGTCGTAATCTGACGCCCGGCAGAGCGTGCAGGCGCAGTTGAAGCCCCAGTGGTCGTGTAGGTAGCGACGACGTTCGTCGGCAGGTGTTTCCAGGGGGACGTCTGATTAGCAATTAGTTTTTCTGGTCTCTTCAAAACAAAAAAAAAAAAAAACAGAAATAAAGACAATGAGGGAAAAGCGATAAGGAAAGGGACCTACAGCTCATAAAGATTTCCTCGCCTGGCTCAATCCGGCGGAAGGCGACCACTTCCATGGTCAAACGGGATTCCGAGAAGCGATAGTACGCACTGGTTTGTTAGTACATGGCAAGTACCCCGAAAACAAAAGAATGAAAAAGGGGTTCCTACTTTGGCCGACAGGCATGATTAATCTTCTGTAGTAATTAGTTGTTAGCCAAGTTCCCCGAACGACATCCCTGATTAGACCACCAAAACATACCGCCACCTCAGCAAACAACCCAACATGCACCTCCCCCCCAACCACGACCGCATGCGAATTCCGCCCCAGAATTGCATCCACCTCGTACTTAGCCGCCTCACTCCGCTTCAACCGGTCCAGCTTCGCCCGTGTCCCCTCTGGCAACTGGGCCATCGCCTGCTTCAACACCCTTCGTCGGTGATGACCCGGCGTGTCCGCCAGGAACCCCATCCCCATCATCACGGCTGGCACGTCCACCATAATGATCTCCCCTTGTCGAATTGTTCGGGTTGCGACCACGCCCTCGCCTTTTTCTTCGCCGACATCAACAATTTCATAACTTAGCCCACTTCCTCCGCCTCCTTGCGCTAGCCCTGCTGCTGCTGCTGCTGCTGCTGCTGCTGCCGCTGCCCGGCGCTGAGCTGCAAGAGGCGCCGGCCGGTCGTGGAATGCCCCGACGCTGAGGAGCTCAGAGGCAGTGGTGGTGCTCGTGACGATGCTGGTCCCGTGGCCGTTGCGGAACTCGGCAGAGGTAAATAGACAGTCAATGCGGGATGGCTCATCGTCGCCGGTGGTAGTTTTGGTGGTTTGGGTGATGCATTTCGGGGGGTAAGTCCAGGACACGGCGGGGTCGATGTCCGTGTTAACATTGTTTGAGGTGTCGTCGTGGAAAATGCCGATTCGACCCGGGACTGGACATTGCGGCGGTGGGTGTTGGGTTTGGTGTAGGCGGCCCGCGGGTTGGTGTGGGCAGTGGGATGGAGGAAAGGGGGAGGCTGTGGATGTGGTTAGGAGGGTGAGAAAGAAAAAGGATGAGAGCGGTTGGCTGCGCATCGTCGATCCTGTTGCCCCCATGTTGAGTTGTTGACTTCTGGGGTTGAATTCTCGTGAGAGGGGCTTCGAGTCAACTAATTAACTGTAACACTTCATATGAAGTTAACGCTTCACATGAACTCAAATTATAAATGCAAGGTGGCCGGTAGTTAGTATACCCGGCGGTTAATTAACAGCCCCTGGCTCGAGTACCCGGAGTGCCGATCTTTACACTCAGATTATCCACAAATACCAATCAACAAACAATGCCCAGACATCTCGAAACTAGCCAAGACTGACCCCTCGAAACTGGTGTTCTCAGGTCTTTATTTTTGTCCAAGGAATCTCTTTCTAAACCCTTGCGCTTCAAGAAGTCGCTCAAGCTCTCCAACCTCGATTAGGAATCACCGAAATATCCTTCCCTCTAATTACATCGTACATAGATACCCACCTGGCTTTAAAAAAGCCCAAAACAGTTCGCATAGTACGTCACCGTCGCGCTCCAGTCCGAAAACACACCCAACACGCCCACATCCTGCGCCAGCACATGCAACAAGTTGTACACGTCCCCCTCTCCGTTCGTCACATTCGCAATGGTCCCATAGTAATATCCACCACCCGATCCATCTCCAAGCCACCCGCTCCGCTCCAGCGTCCAGGTGATAATCCCCAGCCCGACCCGCTTCGCCTCGACCGCATACGCGCTCGGCACGATCTTGCCCGTGGCGCTGTCCACCGCGACGAGATACTGCAGCGGCGGCGCCACAATCTGAACGCCGGCCTTCGCATATTCAGACAGACGCTTCACAGCCTCCGGCATCTGCGTCGCGGGGTCGGCGTCGGCGCTCTCGTCGAGCAGGATGGCCTGCCTGGCCCACTTCGGCTCAGCCTTGATCCAGTAGAGGAGGTCGTCGTACAGGAACGACTGCAGGAAGACGCGCCGGGGCGAGATGCGGGCGGCCTTGAACTCGTCGATCAGCTGTTGGGCGAAGACTTCCTGCGTGTAGTTGCTGCCCGCGGGGAACGGCATCGACACTTGCGGGGTTTTAAGCTCGGCAGTGAACTTGAGTCCTAGCGCCTCGATCAGCTCAATGTACTCGCCCAGCGTCGAGATGCGGTCGCAGGTGGTCTTGGCGTAGAGATCGGTGCGGTACCCCGGAGTGCCGCCTAGGAACTCGGCCGGGGTCGTGGCGGATGTGTCGGAGGCATCCATCTTGACGCAGAGCTTGCGGAGCTCGGCCAGGGTGAAGTCAGAGGTGCAGCACTTGGCCGTGGCCGGCTTGCTACCATCCTGGCTGGCGGGTGTGAAGGGGACGGTGCACTTCGCGTTGAGCTCTGGGATCGAGACCACGTTGGTGGTGGTGTGCAGATCGCACTGGTCGTGGCGGCAGACCAGCTGGTGGTCCTTGGAGAAGGTCACGTCGCATTCCTGGATACCGGCGCCCATGCGAGTCTGTACGTCCAGAATGGTCAATCGTCTAGACAATGACTTGGCAAAGAACGTATGGGTCTACTACTTACACCCGCCATGATCGATGAATGAGAGTGCTCAGGGAATTGCAGAGTGCCGCCCCCGCGGTGCGCAATGCTCCATTCGCTGCGCTTGATCTCCTTCTCAGAGCACGATGCCAGCTTTCGCTTGAGCGGCCCCTCGTCCATCTGATCGACTAGCCAGTACGGGCGGGGTCCCAAGGCAATCCGCTTGACGGGCGTGACCTTGGGAGGTTTGGGGCCCGGACCGTCGCCGTGGGGCACGGCAAACGTTGGGACGATGGCCGCAGCCGACCAGGCAAGGAGGTGAAGTGCCGCCACCATGGTGAGGTTTTTGAACTGACGCTCGTGGGAAAAGAATGAGGGGTGGAAAACTCGAAAACGCGGGATCGACGGAACGCGCAGTCTCAGCTGCCCGGCTCAACCGGCAGCCTCATAAATAGGATTGGGAAAGAGCGACATTAGAACCACGTGTGGTGCTCCCCCAGCTTTCGCGCCAGGATCCAGGTGTTCGGTTCCCATTTTGTTGCCCGATGCACCCTCACGGAGGAAACTCTCAGTGATCCCGGAATGTTGTGCATTTCCAGCAAGACCTCTCGCCCAGCGCTCGCACGTGGCCGCTGGGCAAGTTGGGGAGATTCAATATTGATAGGCCAAAGAGGAAGGCCAAGCAGGAACACATGCGGGTTGTGACGTTGACACGCCGTGTCACTCGCTTGTCTCGCTGGTCTTGGCGGTGTGCTCCAATTCGCGGCCCTGATTGGCGGTGGTGTTGAGGTTCGCGAAGAAGGCACGGGTTGACTTTCTGCTTGCTGACGAAATCCCGAATCTAACTTACCTATTTTTGGTTTCGAGATATTCTGAGAATGAATTCTCCGCGCTTGTTGTCTATTCTCTACACTAGGTGCCGAGGCACCAACCAGCCTGCGGGAAAACAAAACCACCAAAGCGACCCGTGTTTCCAGCGCAAGGCTTTTTCGTAACCGACCGGCTTTTTCGACAAAACCTTGAAAGTAAGCGGAAGCATCCTGGTTTTTCGTCTTGTATCATGGTAGGTATGGGCTACCTGTATGCTCATTCACTAAGAGATGTTGAATTTGATTCTATCGCCAAAGCCGGGCTGATCGTAGTGTACATAAAAAGTTGGGTGGAGACGCCATAAAATAATACATCAGACGATAAGATAAGTCTGGGAATTAGCGCTCTGCGCTCCAAAAAGCCCCAAAGATCCCACGTGGTTCCTCTTTAGGCCCTCCCTGATAGCCAGAGCAGATACCCCATCACAGATAAAAATGTCCGAAACAAAAAGTACGAGACACCCGTACTATGCCCGTGCTTGATCCGTGTTCTCGACGTCTGCAGCACCTTGACGGCCCGCGGCACGCTGACCGCATCGTAATTCCGAATGGCGCTGTCAACCGAACTGGCCTGGATAACTTTCTCCGCGAGGTCCCAGCCGTCCTTGAGAGCGAGACTCGCACCGTACCCGGCAAACGGGCTCACCGCGTGGTTGCTGTCGCCGATAAACACCACGGGCCCGAGTTCGGACGGGTTGTGCGCAAACGGTTTCTTGTCGCGCGCCGGCGACACAAGAACGCTCGTTGGGTCCTCCGTGGCATCTAGCACCTCGAGAAACCGCGGGCCAAGCATGTGGCCCCGTCGTCGCGCCTCCTCAAGCACGGGGAGGATCTCTTCGCGGCTCCGGAATGGACCGACCTTGGGCCGGAATGTTGGATCCACATAACTGAGCCCCCACACCACGCTGTGACTGTCAACAGGAGAGTAAAAACAGGCTACGCCATGACCGCCGGATAGCTGTTGCCCCCAATTCCTGTCGAGAGGTGGGGGGATGCCGTTTGGGAAACTTGCTTGGCCTATTAACTGGACAGCGCCGGCATACTCCAACTGATCGTCGGGACGCAGACTCGCCCGGACCTTGCTGCTCGCACCGTCGGCCACAACCAACAAGTCGCATTCCACAGTCGACTCCGGCTTGCCTCCATTACCCCCGGAGATACGCAGTGAGACCCGTCCATTCTTCGTCTTGGTAGCCGATAAACAAGTTGATTCCCATCGGACTTCGTCCGGTACGGCATCGATGAGCGTCTTGCGCAGGTTCTTCCTCGCAATCCGGATCGACGACGTTGGCAGCCCTGGAGCGGGCTTGAACCGGACGCTAAGCAGCTCCGTCCAATCCGGGTTCCACGCCTTGAACGAAGCCCCGGTGCTGCCGTCCTGCGTGCCGAGGATGGCGTGTTTGAGGATGGTATCGAGCAATCCGAGGTCTCGGAGCGCCACTAGCCCGCCGGTCTCGTCATAGCCGGCCAGCGAGAGGCTGTAGCCTGCGCGGCCCAGCGCATCTTCCTTCGAGTCCCGCTCGAGGATGGTGAGTTTTGGTGGAGGGACCTGGGGCGGCCAGAGCTTGCGGAGAGCGACCGCGAACGAGAGGCCTGCGATGCCACCGCCGGCAACGACGATGTGGCGGCCCGAGAGGAAGTGTATTCTGTCCGACATGGTGGATGGTAACAAGAATTGGTGTGTTGGGGCCTTGGGGGGATACGGTCGGGTGTGCAGAGTATTGACTTGGCCGTCTCTAGGCGACGTCGAATTAAGAACGCCAAGTGTAAAACGGATGACGTGTCGGCCGCGCGTTGAGGATCGAAGAGCAAATGAGGTCGAAGAAACGTGTCCCAGGAGGAAGTCAAATTATCAGTGACTCGACGATGAGAGGGCCAGCTCGGTCTTGGCGATGTCCGAACGCCGAAGGGTGCACGGTGCGCTTGCGTGTTCAGCCCAATAGATAACTATCAAGCTTTGAAAAAAGATATAATGAAAGAAACCAGCAAGCTGTCACAGGGCGGTTGTATAATCCGCGTTTCAACCTTCCGAGAAATTCATCGTTGCGTCGGTGATTTATTGTGGGGAGAATATAGGGTCGCTTTGCAGCATGATGTTGAGAAGGGGGTACCTATGTATCGACCAGGGGGCATATCGAATTATAAACTGCCGGGAGGAAAATGACGACCAAAACCCACCGGTCGAACAAGAAGGCCGTTTGAATCCTTAACAATTCATGGTCAAGGCTACCATGACAGGCTGTTAAGAGGCACGCAAGTACCTGTAGTCAATTATCATAGGTACAGTTCGAAGACTACCTAAGGTACCTACCTAGGTACCTAATGATGCTGCTCAAACTCAACGGTAATTTTCAGGGCTCTCTCTTGTCCCCAATTGATTACCCCTGAAACTGGTTAACTCTTTGATATCACTAGAATCCAAACCCCATCGTCACAGTAATCCGTTGTATGCACCTCCGTTTAAAAGAAAGTCTCAGTTTCTTTCCCTTGAATCCAGTCCCACCATTTGTCTGATAATTAAATCCTGATTTCCTTTATTGAACATTTCCAGAACACCTAGTTACTAGAAGTTCCACAGATGCCGTTGCCAAGGTGGGGCAGCAACCCCGCGCCCAACTCAGGTACCTAACTTCCCGCAAACCCTCCCCTTGCTCCCGTTCACACCCCAACGCAGATTTGGTAGCATTCTCCCTAGCGCCTTGCAAACAACCCGATACAGACACCATACCTAAAACCATGTCTTCCCACAGCCTTCCCGAGGTGCTAATGAAAAAAGTCGACGAGTACGTCGACTCGCTCGCCCCGCAAATCCAACCCCGCATCGCCCAAGAACTCGAGTTGTTCCAAAAGAAAACAATCGATAGCCTGGAAGATCAGGTTGTCGACGCGTTTCGGTCTCTCTTCGATAAGGATGACCGAAAAACCTCCTCGGGCTCCGGCTCCGGCTCGCGCAGCCTTAACGACCGCGTCCCGGATTCCTACGGCGGCCAGTCTTTGCCGTTTGCCGACGAGATTGCAGGCCTCACGCGCGGGCTGAGCAACATTGCGGGCGACGCGGGCGATGACCTGCGGGATATCTTTAACTTGACCGAGGGCCGGGATGGCACGGGCGAGACGACTCGATCCCGAGGCGGGGGTGGGGAACAACGGCCCGCCGACAATTTCAAGGGGTTCTTCTCGGCTGCCGTACATGCTGTCCAGGACCATCTTGATGATAGGAAGGGGTCCGGTGGAGGCGGAGACGGGGGCTTTCAGCTGGACGGGTTGCTGGGCGTGATTAGCAACACAGTGAAGGAAGCGGCGCAGAACCCGGAAGAGAAGGCCCGAGTGATCAGCCCAGAGATCAAGGAGAAGGTTGGTGAGAAGCTTCGGCAGCAGCATGCGCCTATTGCGGAGCAGTTCACGCGGATCGCCCTGGATCATATCAAGCGCTGGTTGCGAGGAAACACGAGCAGTCGTGATCTAGGTGATGGTGTAAAGGGGGAGATTGAGGGCCAGGTGAAAGATCTAGTTAAAGGACTCGGCGGTCTGTTTAGGCACAAGAAGGAGCACAGCCAGGGAGGGTCGAGGGAGATTGGAGATCATGACGAACACGAGGAGCGAGACCGGGACCGGGGTGATGGGGAGGGCTCCGGCGGCGGGTTCTCCAAAATCATCAGCGAGAAGCTCAGCACAGGTCTTGCGAGAGTCCACCGGGAAGTTCGGCTTGAATTCCGAAAGATCCTTGGTGCCATTGAGAAGCAGCTCTTTGAGCTACTCCCAGACCAATTCCAGCGACCGCTCGAGAAGATTCTCGGCGGTAATCCCTTTGACTCCCAGCTGGACCGTGATGCCAAGTCGGGCGGACAGGCTGATCGTGGGTTCGGCGACGACATCAAAGCCAAGCTGCTGGACAAGATTCGCGGGCTCATCCGCAAGGTGCAGGAGACTCTCCGGGAGAGCATCCTGGGGGTTGTGAACGGCGGGCACCGCAAGTTTGAGAGCGAAAGCTGGGTGTTTGTACAAAACATGGTGGAGCAAAAGGTGCAAAAATACCTGCCCAAGGTCAAGATCACTGTGCCGGATGACATTGGCAATGAGGGTGTGAGTGTAGGAGCGCCGACTTCGAATGTGCAGCTTGGTGGCGGGCATCAGCCTGTGCCGGCCCAAGGAGGGCACGCCCCTCCAGCCCATCACCAATCTCCTCCCCAAAATCAGCCATCACACCAGGAGTACAAGCCCCCAGTCCACCAGCCGGAATACCAGCAGCAGCACGAATATCGCCCGCATGAAGAGCACCGACCGCAAGACTACCAGGCTCCTCAGCATTCCCAACAGGGCTATCGGCCTCAGGGAGAGTATCGGCCTCCTCAAGAGCATCGACCTCAGCAGTACCAGCAGGATCATCACCAGGAGTACCAACCGCAAGAGTATCGGCCTCAGGACTACGCAAGCCAGCCGGCATACCAGACCGGGCCGCCGCAAAACGAGAGCCATCACCAAGGGTATCAGTCAGGTCAGCACGGTGACTACCAAGGTGGTCATCAACAGGGTGGCTATCAACAAGGTGGCCACCAACAGGACCATCAGTATGGGCAGGGTCCACGGTACTGAGTGCAGACCAAGCAAGCTAGGGAACTGTTTCTTCACCTGGTTCTGTGAGAAAGGAGGGTAGCCCTATTACACAACGGTAGACCACACCCACAACGCGTTCTATTCACCAGCCTTCAATACTAATCACCCTTCCTTACTGATCAAGATATTGTGCTCTCATCACACGAGGCCCTTAATAATATCCGCCGCCCTCTCGGCCAGGCTGTACAGCGTCGCGGTCAAGTGCCCGCTCACCTGCGTGGGGATGACTGATGCATCGACAACCCTCACGTTGGCAGTTCCGTACACCCGCAGTTCCGCATCAACCACTCCGCCCAAGGCACGGGGAAGCATGGACGCGGATCCCGTCGGGTGGGAGTTGGCAATGACTTGTCTCCTTGTTAGCATTGTGTCGTGAGTGTGATCATAAACAGGGGAGGTTATCTGCGTACCTGTATTCTGCAAATACGCCCGCCACTCGGCATCCGTGGCATTTCTCGTAAACCCCGAGCCGTCCGAGATGACTGGGCCATCCACGTCCCCCTGGGTTTTAAGCGGTTCCGAGAACCAAAACTTTTCCACAAACTTGCCCGCTGCCACCAGAGTCAACAAGTCCAAGTCTGCCAGAAACAGCCGCGGATCGATAACGGGTGCGTTGATCTGGTCCATCGAGCCTAGGTGGACACTTCCGCGCGAAAAGGGGAACAACGTCCAGTAGTTGGACGCGAGGAGACCCCCCGGGGCAATCGCCAGCAGCACCTCGGCGATGGTGATGTTTTGCTGGAAGATCAGGTCGTGCTGATACCGGAGGAGCTTTTCGAGGGCACAGGTCGAGGGACCGCCCGGGCCCGAAGCGTCGGCGGCGGCTTGGGCCCAATGGGAGAGGTTCGCGCGAGATTCTGCTTCGATCGTGGGGAGTTCATCGCCAAATAGCTGGGCGGCGGTTAGGAAGGCGTGGTAGGCGCTGGCTGCGGAGGGCAGGTTGCCCGAGAACACGAGTATGTGCGCTGGCTGCTCGATCAAGTTCTCTCCCACGCCGGGGAGGTCGATTTGGGGGGTGATCCCGAGTGATTTGAGGGTTCTAACAATTAAGGATTAATTACCTAGTAATAGGGGATTGGAAAGGGGTAGGGTTCATGTTAATAACTCACCTCGAGTTGCCAACCCCTGAAGCTTCGAGAATAGGAGGACTTCTCAAGGACCCAGCGGAGAGAACAACCTCCTTTTTCGCGCCCAAGGTGGTCGACTCGCCGTTCTCATCAACAACCTCCACCCCAGACGCCACCAGCTTTCCCTTCCCCGCCTTGTCCGCCCATGTAATCCGCTTCACCGTCCCCCGGAGCACCTGCAGATTCGACCGGCCCTCCACGGGATGAAGATACGCCGTGGCCGAGTCCCATCTGACATTCAGCGCCGGATCCAGCGTCTGCGGGCCCATCCCAAACCCATGCACATCGCCGCGGTTGAGGTCCGGATTGTGCGCCACGCCTACAGTCGCCCACGTGTCGATCACCAGCGGCGCATACGACCCGTTCTCGAGCGCCGGAGTGTACCCCACGTGCAGCGGGCCCTTGAACCCGTGGTTCTGGCGCTGGTAGGTAGCACCTGCGGCCAGCTGCGAGTCTGTCGGGACGGTGTAGTTTTCGGATTTCTTGTAGTAAGCAAAGAGGCTATCCCAGTTCCATCCGGGGTTGCCTAGGGTTTCCCAGACGTCGAACTCTGCCTTGTTGCCGCGGATGTAGGTCATTCCTGATGACTGTTAGTGGCCTGTTCTTCCTCGGAAAACCAGAACCACAGGCCTTGTAACCTTACCGTTGATCGCGCTGGTTCCTCCCCAGGCCTTCCCGGCATGCATCGCAAACGGCCGGTTTCCGGCATGGGTCTGGTTGACCGACGCATATGCCCAGTCAAGCGGGCTGTTCAGGCCCGACCCGAACTCGGTGGATGTGACGTTGGGGTTGTTGCGCTGGTCGGTGCCCGCTTCGACAACGGCGACCGTGACGGACGGGTCCTCGGAGAGCCGGTTGGCAATCACCAGGCCGCTGGTTCCGGCGCCGACGATGATGTAGTCGAAACTTTGGTCCGGCGTTGTTGACGCGCTGGCCAGGGCCAAGGCTAGGAAGGGAAATCCAAAGAAGTGTTTCATCGTAGGCTTATGGCAGCTTTTACGGAATGAAGGGAATTACCACCGCATAATTTTCATGCGGCGGCGCCGTTACTCTAATCAACTTCTAGAATAGTCACTCAACCCTCCCGAAGTCCCCGCACCATGCATGATCCTAGGCGCTCTCGGGCCCGTCACCCCTGACCGGGCGTCTATCGGGTCCGATTCCAGCCTTCGCTTATTCACCTGGCAGCATGGATCAGTCCTTCACGTCGTATCGCTCGACCAGAAACCTGGATCCGGGGAAGGAGGATTGCACTACATAGTAGCATCGAAGCGACCCAGGACGACGTTGTCACGCGTGATGGCGTCGAATGAAGCGTGGACATATCAATGGTCAATGACTCAAACCCTTGATCACGCTCTGAGATCTCGAGAGACGGCCCGAGATGTCACCAGTACGCCGCAGTTCTGCAGGAGCGAGCCAAAATAGAAATAGAATTAGGAATGTCTAAGTCGGTTCGAGGACGTTGCGCGGACCGATGGATGGTAAAGGTTTGTGTAGACGATACGAACAAAAATGCCAGTGACAGGGGAGCCCGTTTCGCCACTTTCGCCAAAAGTAAGCTGTACACAGTAGTGCTTGGAGAGTCCGACCCCTTAACTGGCCTCGGTTCCGATTTAGCCTGAATTGGTTCGCTTCCGCAATCGATGTTCGGGGCCCAGAGGTGATTACGCTCCGATGACCGCGAATGAAGAAAGACGCAGCCGACAGGTTCAAGAACAAAACTGAAGAATAAAGTGAAATACAGTCTAGACCTGGACATGCACGGCGATCGCAGGGGACTCTGACAATAATAAATGGTGGTGAGTCCGAGAACTCGAGGCATATTGGGTGAACTATCATGTATAAAGATGGCGACTGGCCTGAACCCGTCTTGATGGCATTTGACTCCAGCCATAGTGGGAAATCAAGCCAAAATTGAAAGCAAAATAGTATCACCTGGGGCCGATCATTGGTCGTGCTGCTTCAAAGCCCAGCCCCTATATCGCGTTCCACTCTAAGCTTTTCGCGCTTCGAGTTAGTACCAAACTACGAATGATTACGTGACGGAAGACGTAGCCGGCGATTCACATACTAAAAACAAACTCGCCGTCGACATTCTCGATACGCTCCGAGAGGTTGATGTCGGCAGGATGATCCACGTCTCCGCTATCTTTCAAAAGGGCACGCAGAACTGGGACATTATCATCGCCCTCGAGAGAGAAAGAAATCTGAGAGGCGCTTCCGGCGAAGTCCACTCCCTCCCATTCGAATTTACCTAGAAGGAAAACATGTCACCATGTGTTCACTCTCAGACAGGGGTAGAAATACCAGCTCACCTTCGTTGTTGCCAATAACCGTGTTGAGGTCAAGTTCGGCATACTTCCATTCGTCATCCACACTCTGAAGGTCAGCCCGCAGAAGGTGACCGTCGTCAACACGGATATTTTGGGCTGTCCCAGAGAAAGACATGGTGGTTTTATTTGCCTTGTAGGAAATTTGAACTTGATAAGAAAGGGGTCGTGTCGTATGGGCACTAATTCAGGCAGGAAGGGAATGAGAGAGGGATTGACTAGAGAGTGCGGGATCCCCCTTCTCTATTTAACTCTCCCAGTTGGGTGGCTGTGAAGATTCTGTCCCTTACCAAGATCATAGCCAAGCCGCGTCATCAGCCTGCGGTGGGTTCAAAGGTTCAACAAGTGGTATCACAGGCGCAGGCCAAGAGCTCCAAGTGAGTCTGCGGCCGCTCCCAACCCTCCACTTTACATGCGGAGACCATGCCAAGTGCCGCATACCCGCCTTTGTGAGGATGAAAGATGGAAATGGTTGGGATGAGGAGGAGGGGGAAGCAGAGGGAGCCCAGGGCTTTGCGATCCGGTATACGCAAAAAGCCTGGTTCGTGTGACCATTTGCGATTTTCCTTTGAGGGCAGGCGCTTCGGGGGCATCGAAAGGGGATGATGTTTAGGTTTCCACCGTTTCCTGAGTCACGCAATGGCTCGATCGTCATTCAGAGGAGTTGCTGACATTTTGTCAAGAGGCGCACGCGACAAGACGGCCAACCAATAATCATCTAGCCGAGCTAACCGCATGTCACGATATGTGGTGCTGCGCAGGGTGCTTAGGTGGGGATATGTGCCCGTAAATATCGACAGGCCCGCTCGGCACGCGTCGAACGGTGGGGCTGGAGAAGGAAAGGTGCAGAACGGGAGGGGAAATGTATGTGGTTCGGCGTTAGTCATTGGCAGAAGAGCGATGGAAACCGAAATCCCGCGTTTCGCGATTCTCACGTTGAGACGAGTGAAGTTCTGGGCCAAGAGCCCATTATGGGGGTCAACTGCCTCTTCCGGGCTCGGCTTGTCTACCAGGGGCCAGCAGCATAGTCTACCTAAGAACCATGTCCCGCCAACGCATTCGTGCAACAGCAATCAGTTTCCGTGGATATTAGGTATGAAGAAATTTGGCAGTCTTAGGGTAGCAGGTGGAACGACGACGGATTGGAACGGTATGCCGGGATATAGTAGGCGACCCCTGGAGAATGATCAACGAACGATGCACTTCCAATGAAAGGCGTCCCAGTTACCTACGCAGCGGGGCACGTGATGTATTGTAGGTTCTGGAGTGCACGATTTCGGACATGACCAGGCCAAATCCAATCAGTTTGGCAAGAAATGATGGGCATTAACCAACTATAATCACACTTTCCGCCCCAGTCCTTCTTGGGAGCGGCCTGGTATAATTCCATCACAGTCCCGCAGGCCACACCAATCCGTATCTAAAGATTAGATTCATCAGATTGACTTTGCGGAGAGGACGGAGGGTCTTGGTAAGAACGCTCAAGACTCAAACAATAGTTGACTGCATTTAATTGCAAGTAGATGAAAAGAAAAACCTGCGACAACACGACCTTCCGGTCTGGCGTTTTTTTTCCCAAGCACCCAACACTTAACACCTTAATCAACAGTTAAAAAGGTCTGTTCAGGAAAATTTCGACCAAAAGTCTCGGTCCAAAACCTGGCAAGGGTTCTCCCGGACAAGACTCGCGGCGGTTTACTCTCCCGCGACCTGTCTCAAACACGTTTCCGTGCAAAACATCTCACACGCCCTTCCACCACATGTGTTGTCGATTTGCTTCGCCTTTGGGGTTGTTTGTCGGAGGTCCGGCATTCTCTCGCTGTGATGTGCGACCAACCCCCACACAAATGCCAAGACCCTTGCAAATCCCCAACCACCGGTCCGCCTATCCCGGCTGCCGATCATCCGCACTGTGTTCGGACCCTTACCCGAAAGACGCGATTTTGCCAATTCGGCCCCGCGCGGTGAGCCGGGACATGCCTGCCGCACGGTTGTTCTCGCCCAGCTGAACGCCGGGTAAGACAAAGCTATTCCCAGCCCAGCCGTGATGCGGGCTTCGGACCCTTGACGAAGGCCAATCCTCAGGCCCTGATACGGCGATCCGTGGATGATGGATGTGACAGAAATCTTTAGAGTTAGAGTGCAGGATGCAAAATAAAAGCCGCTGTCGTGATGGGCTACCTCGGGACAGGAGCAGGAAGAAGAATTCTTGGGTCTTTGCGTCTTGCCTCCCCGCCTTGCGTCCTTTTAGGACAAACCTTGACGCATTTCAAATCCGGAGATCCTCACACTTTTAGTTTTAGTTAACAGACCTGACCGACGCTTCCACATCCTGCCACGACCGCCACGATGAAGTCGACCAAAGCACAACCCCTAAAACAGATTCACGCCGTTTTCGGCCCACATGGCCACGCCATCTCCCAGTCCACAGACGCCGTCGCTTGTGGCCGGGAGCAGGACGTCCACGAGGCTCGCTTGCTGGAAATGTGCTCGGCGGAATTGTGGCCCAAGGGGTCGTATGAGCAAGCCTGTGCCCGGCCCATCCTGATGACGGAACACCACCAGCACCAGATGGAGAAGCTGCACGAGGCGTTAACGCTAGCAATCACGGACATCGTGGACAGGTGGTGGACTGACGATGCCGCGGCCTTTCCTCAGCGGATGCCGCTGACTGGAGTGGAAGAGGGGCTCTTGCAGGTACGCGCTCGCATGACATGACCTGGCTTGGAGGCGGCTCACTAACAATAGTTAATTCGTGTTAATTAGTGGATGGATGGCCAAGTCCCGCATAACCTGCCCGAGTTCCGGGAGGTCCTCGGCTCTTGGCGGCCCGACTTTCTCGTCGCAGATGGGCCCCATAACGAGTTGTACCCGACCGGGGAAGTCTTTTGTGTTACCGAGATTAACGCGCGGTTCTCCTTGAACGGCTATATGCACGAGGCGTATGGACAGCAGGCTCTTTTGGACCTTGGTATTGAACAGCGTGGCCTACAGGGGGCAACCGATCCGGCCAAGGTAGACGACACCCACCATGCTTGTTTTACGAGTGTCAAGATGCTAACGGGACATCAGCTTATCGGGGGACTGTGCAGCCTATTGCGGTTCGACCGGCCTCTCCACCTGCTCAAAGGCCAGGAGAAAGGAATCGACATCCACATGTTTGTCGAGTTCCTCCGTCGCCATCTGGGCATGCACGTGCGTATCATCGCGCCTGAAGACCTCCGTCTGGTGCCAGACAGCAGTGCTGTGCTGGGCTACAAACTCTGCTGTGCCGTCCGCGCTCCCGAGTACGCCCGTGGCGCTCTTCTGCAAGGCGGCTTGATGCTAGTAGACGGAGAAGTTGTCGAGGAAATCCACCAGGTCGGCCTGGAGCTGCACCAGCGTGAGCTTCTTGGGCTTCCAACCAAGATGCTGCGAGCCATCAGCCTTCGGTGTTTCAACGATTTGCGCACAGTGCTCCTAGTACACGACAAAAGGATGCTCGGGATCGTGCGGGAGGAACTTGGGTCGCTCGTCCGCCGGTCTGTTCTCAGCGAGGCCCAGGCCGACATCGTCCGCCATGGGGTTGCGGAAACCCTCCTGCCAGGCTCGGTTGAGGTGCAGGACCTACTACAACGCTCGCGGGCCTTCCCCGAACTGCGGAATGAGTTTCTCTTGAAGCCCATCCGGGGCGGCAAAGGAAGTGGCATCGTCTTTGGCGACGAAATGCAGGCTTCCGAGTGGATCTCGTGCCTGGAGAAGCTTGATACCGCCCAGATCACACCTGGGCGAGAGTCCCTGTTGATTCAGCGGCAGGTCAAGCAGCGCTTGTATGATGTGGTCCTCGGCCGGGATGGGAAACACACTCGGTATCCTCTCATCGGCACGTATCACGTTGTGCACGGCCAGCTGCTTGGCCTGGGGATTTGGCGAAGCAGTCCAGGGCGCATCACAGCCGTCAGCAACGGCGGTTCTTGGGTCTGCTCTGTGCTCCAGAATTAATGGTCTCATATTTCATCACAAATTGTACAAAAGAAAGCGTCGCTGTTGGAATTCACATCACCGAGATGTTTCTTCATGGCACCACAATACAAGCCAATCTCGTTCTTTCGGATACCCATCTTGATCTTCCGCTTCAGCTGTCTCCGGTGACACCATACACGACGTGTACCGCCGGTCTCTTGCCCTATTTGAGCACCAGCAGGCAAAGATGCGTGACGACCAACCCCTTGTGCATAACCCTAATGTAGCCCCTGTTTCGGAAACAAGCCCACTCATGTTGGTCCAGTCAGGGATGGCAGTCAGCCCATGTTGAAGTGAGTTCTTAGCGATTGGCCCGCGGCTCTTTGCCTTCACCGTGTCACAGCGCCCCGGCCCTTTGCACCCGGATCTTCACCCTGCCTTGTCTGGGCCCAGATATCCAGTTCAGATCCGGTGCGGGATGCAGATACAGCTGTGAAGGGATTTTCTTGGGTCCATCCATTTCTTCCCAAGCGTGCAGACCCCTGCCGGATCCGCTGTTCTTGAGAAGATAATTATTGTGCAGACTTCAGATCGACCTTCGTGGTTCACTGCAAATTCATTCCCCAATACCACACTACTCGCCAACTTGATAGATCCAAGTCCGATTGTCTCCTCGAGCTTACATCTCATACCGTCCACACAGAGGCCTGTTCATTCTCCGCAGTCCCTCAGGATGCATTCCATACTTCGCCCCTTAAAGCACGCCCGGGCTAGTGACCTCCTGACCCGTAAGAAAATTTCCCGGCTGGCATTGTTAGTGATTATCATACTGACACCCGCTTGTAGGCCAGGCCACTGCTCCTACCGTCTCGCATCTAAAGGTCAGCGGACTCGACTGCCTACACCAGCCCCATCACATCCACCAAGTCCAACAGCTCCTGCAGAAAACGGGGCTTGTAAAACTCAGCCTAGAGTTCTCCGACGACAGCAGTCGGTATCTTCAAGGCTTGATTGTGGGGTTGAGCCAGTTCCACGGCCACGGGCTTCCCATCGACCACAGCGCCTCCCAGGGCTGGTTCTGGGAAATCCGGCCGAGTGCCGCGCAATTCCAAAGTAACGGATGCCAGGCCCGATCCGAGACGATGGAGGAGTTCCCTTGGCACACAGACTGCAGCTACGAGGAGCATCCGCCGCAATATTTCGCATTACAGGTCCTCCAGCCGGACCAGCGCGGCGGCGGTCTCTTCTCGGCCCTTCACATCCAACACATCCTCGACCGGCTGTCCCCGGTTGCACGCGCAGCGCTCGGCCGTCCTGAGTTTCGCATTACCGTGCCCCCGGAGTTTGTGCGAGCGAGTAATAAGAGCCACATTATCGGCAGCATCCTCGCCATGAGTAGTAGCGACAGAGGCAGGGACGGCCACGGCGGAGTCGCGACCGGCAGGGTGACAATACGGTTCCGCGAGGACATCGTCACGGCCCTGACTTCGGAAGGCGCCCGAGCGGTGGAGGAACTCAAGACTGTCCTGATGAGCCCCGGGGCGCGTCGCGACACGCTCCATCTGCCGGCCGAGGACATGCCGCGTGGCTCGATCTTGGTGCTCGACAACCGACGCTGGCTACACGCGAGGAACGAAGTCAAGGATCCGGCGCGCCATCTCCGCCGGGTGAGATGGGACGCGAGAGCCTTCAGCTCAACAAAGCCCTAAAGGATGGAAAAAAAGGTGTGATGTTTCTGTGCGCGGGGGGGTTACGTAATTTTCTATCACTCAGTCCGGAAACCGGTTTTAGACGGCATGGCGCGTGAAGGCGGCTGCATGCTTTTGTCTCAACAATTCGCGCAATACATTTTGTCTCTCTTGTCTCACAAACCAAACACACAGAAAATGTGGTGATTGTTGTTGTCACGACGTCACGGGCAGCGATGGGCTGGCCCACCCCCTGGCCAAACACAGTTAGCAAAGTGGACCGTCCCGTCTTGGAGCCCAGCTGAAGCCGCAGATCGTTGCATTAGCGCCAGCTCAGCTCGCCTTGCTGGCCGGTTGATCGGCAAGGGCCGGGCACTGTGCGCCCGCCGCACTGTAGTGTACACTAATGTTCTTTGCTCGTTGCAAGTTGGCCGTCGGATTTTGCCTTGCCCATATGAACTCCCTGGACTCACTCGTCTTTTTGGTTCCCTGAGAGGGACGACGGGACGTATTCACCAAAATGAAGACCAGAGTGTATACGGTCCAGCAGGTCCTTGCAGCCGCAAAGACCCACCCCTTTTACACTCCTGGGGTCCAGTACCCTCCCGACCGTGATGCCGTCCAAAAGATCGTGGAATCCGGGAACCAGGGCCCGTCGGAGGCTTCCCTGAGTTCTTGGCCGTTGGCCACAAAGGATCAACTGTGAGTTCCGGAAACGAAAATCGCATATCGCCCGCCCGACTGACATCATATAACACCAGGTATCGAACTATCCGGCGCCTCGTGAGCGACACAAGCAGCACAAACACGTACCGAGATGGCTCCTACATCAGCATGACTGGCGGCAGTGGTGGCGGGCTTCCTATGCCCTTTGCCACGGACTCGTTCGAAAACCGCGAACAGCGAGCGCGGATGGGGGAATTCATCCGGTTGTGTGGCGTGATTGAACCTGGGGACTGGGTTCTGACCGTCCATACCTCAGGGGGTTTTTACCGGTAGGTTTGCTGGCCCAATTGTACCGTAATTGTAAACCAAAAAAAGGAATGACAGCTGACAACCCCCCAGCTCGTTGGATCTCATGGTGGAGATCTTGGAGAACGCGGGGGCCAGCGTCCTGCCGGCCGGGCATGCCATGTCGTTGGCGGAAGTTGTCGAGGCCCTGGTCCATTATCGCGTGAACGTCTTATCAGGAGACAGCAGCCAGATTGTACGCGTTTCTGGCATTATCGCGGGCCTCCCGGCTGAGGAGCGACAAAACGTGAAACTGACCAAGATTATATACACGTCCGAGCCCCTCACAGATGTCCAAAGGGCCTACATTCGCGAAGTCCTCGGCCCGATACAGGTGTACTCTGTGCTGGGGAGCTGCGAGGCTGGGCCCTGGGCCCTCAGCAATCCGGAGATTGGGCAGGCTTCAGCGTCCGAGGTCGCCGGCGCTGCCGACTTTGTATTTGATACTCGCACCATGCTCGTCGATATTCTGGACCCATCCGTTCTCGACAACGATGATGGCAGCGTCGCGGCGACAAGGGAGCCACTCCCGGATGGGAGCTTAGGTATCGTCGTACAAACCTCGTTACAGCGTCTGAAGAATCCCCTCGTGCGATACGTCACAGGCGACATTGGCTCGCTCCACCCTGTTCCAGAATCCGCAGTCGCCAAAGGAATCCCCGCCGAGGAAAGGCAGTACCTCCGCATTCTCCGCCTACACGGCCGCGACCGCCGCTTCAGCTTCAAGTGGTCTGGCGAATACTTGCAGTTCGACTGGCTCGCGGCTCTCTTGCAGACCAAGGAATGGCGGATTCTGCAGTGGCAAGTCGTTTTGGCCCAGCCTAAATCGTTTCCCGACCCGACGCTCGAAATCCGACTCCTTTTGCCCGCCTCGGTAGCTGAAACTGATATCGAGCCCGAGTCGAGGTTGGTGAAAGCGATCGAACAGTTTTGTGTCGTAACGCCGGGAAACCGCCACCTCTTCCAAATCAAAATCCTGACGGACCTCACCCAATTTGAGAGGAGCAGCACTGGGAGGAAGGTCATCAAATTTATTGATAGGACGTAATGTGAGCGTGTGAGGTGTTGGTCTACTCGGGTCATAATTAATTCGTACCTTACCTAGTTAATTAGGTACATTATCGATGATTTTGGTGCAAAGAAATACATAAATCGTCGATGGAATTTCAGTATCATGGAAACAACGGACTTTTGGCGTGCCGCTGTCTTGCGGCGATTGCCCATGCCGTCGGCCGAATCAGAGCATGGAAGCGCCTTCTAAATCCCCAATACGCCGATGTGTCCTTGAGGGGATTTGTGAGTATAAATCATAACGTTGATCAGTTGCTTGCATTTCGACATCACATGATGATTAGGATACTGTTTGTTTGTACGGAAACGGGACGGCGCAACTCTGGCGCATGGCCCCCACTTTTCCGAACCCCCACCACCCAGTTAAGTCAACCCCTGTCTGGAGCTTTCGCGGACCGCGTCTTGTTTCGCAACACCAACAACATCTCAAGAACAATTTCCTAGCTCGGCACCACCCGCAAAACTACGACGCCCACGTCTTTCCTTCCGCTGGCGAGCACATTCGGGGAGCATATGTCCAATTGCTACAGGTACAGCTTCGACGCTTTTCCAACAACATAGCTACCCACTATGGGGGCGCCACAGCTCGACACCCAGATTTTGGGAATCGTGTTCCAATCTCGACCAGATATTCTTACCGGCATCAAAAATGCAGCCGGTACGTACGCTGCATCGATCGGCATTCAATATTCATGCTCCACCTTCTCCGATCTAATCTCTCTGGTGTGGCTTTTGGAGGGTGAGAGCCACTTGTGCTCGTGAATTGCTGGCTAACGAGCTCCCCAGATACGCCGGCGCGCACCACACTGTTCAACGACATAGCTAGTTATGTGTACGAACGATTGAGTACTGCCGAGGGCGCAGACGGCCCTGCATCGAAGAGGAGACGAGTCGATATTACACAGTCAGTCACACAATCGAAGCCAAACGGACAAACACACGCCGACTCCCAGACCGCCGGTTCCCATCCCGAGGACGCCGCCGCCGACCCTGTCTTGCTCGAGATCAAGGACATATCGGTGTCAGCACCACAACGGAAGAAATACGACCTCTGCTTTACTAAACGCTTTTTATATGCGCGAGCGCCTGGGACGTCAGCCCCGGCCCAGGGCATTACATATCCCTGGAAAGACATCGGTTTGTGCCCCACGTCCGACCAATTCGCAACACTCTGGCGATGACACATCGTACCTAACTTATGGCGTTTAGAGCATGCATTTTATTTGCCAGTTCCCGACAAGGCCCAAGTCCAGCACAACTACGTCTTCTTCCCCCGTGGCAGTTCCTTGCCAACGTCAAAGCAGGCTGGTCCGTCGCTGGAGCCGCTGGTTCTGACCGTGCCTGCCACGGCACCGAAACCGGGGAGTATCGCCGGACAATCAGCCGCAGCCGCTGAGGCGGTCTCCGACACGTACAGCAGCCTGTTCCACTGGGCGTTGACAACGTCAATGCGCTCGGCCGGAAACCATGCATGCCAAATCGTGGCCGCAGATCCCAAATTATTCCACAGTGTCGCCCGCCAGCCGCACCGCCCCAATGAAAAGGCCGTCCACGTCAAGGGCTTCCGGGGCAGCAAGGACGGATTTCTTTTCTTTCTTCCCACCGGGATTCTGTGGGGCTTCAAAAAACCGCTCTTGTTTCTACCGCTGGATCGGATCGTGGCTGTCAGTTATACCAATGTCCTACGCACCACATTCAACATTGTCATTGAGCTGGATACAGATACCGTTGGGGAGGATATGCCAGGCATCGACAAGGAGATTGAGTTTGGCATGATCGACCAGGAGGATTACCAGGGGATTGACGAGACATACGTACGGCGCCACGGGCTTGCAGACCGGAGCATGGCTGAGCAGAGGAAGGCCAAGCGGGAACTGGCCGAGAACAACAAGCAGCCTGCTTCGGGAGACGCGTCCACTGCGGAGGCGGAGGCGACGGATGGTCTCACCGCGTTGGAGTTGGCGGAGCGCGAGGCCGAACAGCAGCTGCAGGATGAGGAAGACGAAATGGAGGAGGACTATGACCCCGGCAGCGAGGGGGAGAGTGAAGGTTCTGGGTCGAGTGATGAGGATGATGAGGATGACGAGGCGGCGGAAGAGGACGAAGGTGATGACGAGGATGAGACAGGGAATCTCGGGGATTAGGTGGCCCCGAAGCTCACTAGTCCTAGATTGAGGGAGAGAGTGCGCATAGATTGTAAGATATGATGATCGGGCTCGCGATGGCAGTGCTTCTCAGGTGTCTCCCCGGTTGTGTCCCGTGATGGCATGTATACGTTGGCTGCTAGTTGGAATACACTTTACGAAGCGCAATGAACCTCCAAGTGTAATCGCTCTGCTATCCTCTCGCGCATGAGAACATCGATCAATCCGATCAATACAAAGGCGTCGTTCCATTTCTTTCTTTTTTGTCGATTGTCAACGCTATTATTCATTCGTTTTCTTCATTCGTTTCTAGGGCCGTTTCAAGTTCGAGGCCATTCCGGAGAACAACACTCTTGAGGAAAAAGTCCCCGAGAGTTCCATCGATGTTTCTGACAAGGTCTGCTGACGAGTGGACGACTCAGATTTGATCGAAAACACTGCCTGCTTGATCAGCGGGCCCAGTTTAGGGGACCAATGCCCTAAAACGGAAGGGATTTGACGCTCCACACAAGGCAGTGTGTTTCCCCGCTTGCCCTTTTCGCGTCCTGAAAGGGTCTTTTCCCTAAGGGGGAACCCCCGTCGTGAAAGAGGGACACTGGCCGGAGTATTTTCCTATCGAAGGCTTGAAGTCCTGGGAAAGCATTGATGTCATCTCCGGTGGCCTCGGCCAAACAGCGCATGAAGCATCACGAGTAACAAACCCTTCCCAGAAAACAAAGAGAAGCCCGGGAATGGAAACACGGCAGGTCTGATTTGAGGATGAACGGTCCTGCATGGGAGCGTTGCTGCGTTACCCCGCAGTGCCGACAAGATTGCGGGGAAACTGGCGAAAAGAAGGTAGGAAGAAGCCGGTGAAGCGGTGAGAACCGGTTGGGCAGTCCACTGCACACTCGTAATGGACTGTGGAGTGGACACTACCTACCTACACGAAGCGAGCGGACGAAGTTCGTGAAGGTAAATTTGGCCAGGAAACGCATCCTGCATGGTTCATCCGCAAACAGGACCTCGTGACCGACAACCGACAGCCTTGCGAAGAGGGAGGAGGATGGAACACCGTGGGCGGTCTGATGAATCGTCCAGTCTCGGCCATGTTGGCGCCCCCGTTTGCTGAGAGCGACTGGTGGATCCGGAAAGGCGGTATCGGTTCGGATGAGACCAGGGCGCCACCCACTCATCGCCAAAAATGAACTATTCTAGAACCGGCAAGGGTACTCAGTCCCTACCGTAGGGCTGAATTGTTTCCCAGCCTGCATGATTGACCGTGCTGGAGTTGGTTGGCTTGGCTGGTTCCCTGGCGTTGCTGTCGGCGGCTCGCTGTGCCGACATGGGAGACCACTCCGCCTGGGAATCCCGCGCAGCGTGGGGCGAAACGGAAGGGCCGTGACGAAGCCTCTCGGTGGATTGTCGTTGAAGCAGGGGATTCGGCCAACAACTGTAATGCCTTTGGCATTCCCTGGTGGATTTGACCGAGTTGCTTCTGAGGCCTGCTTCCTCTCGCGTCTTCTTCATCACCAACGTCGCTCATTCGAAGGGCTACGAGGGTTTCACAACACGGCGCATTGTGGGTGCGGAATCTTCTTATCAAATAAATAAAATTACAATGAGACGCGTCTATGACTAGTGTACTGAGTGATCTTGGCCCTTTTCCCACGCTCCCACGCCGAAACGGAAACAAGAAGAGAGATGCTCGATCGATGCGGCCTTGCAGCGGGGCGATCGATCCGAACCCTGCTTCCCGTCAGCCCAACATGCCCGTTGCCACGAGAAAAATCTTGTTGGCTGGGGCTGTCGAGGTTGTCTCGGAAGCTCGATTTGCCGCCACCAGTCTTGCCGGTGGATGATCGCTCCATCAACCCAGCCCTTGGGCGGCCTGGTAGCCTGGCACACCGCTGGGATCTTTTTGGACTTTGCCAATGGAAACATAACACAGGTATGAGCTCTGGCTGAGAGCTGTTATCCCCTGTGCGATTCAAGGCCTACAAGTATTATGTACAGAAGTTACCTACCTTACATAGGTAGGTACTTTGCTTTTCGTCACAGGTATAAGCCTATCAGCTGGTTGCTCCCGCCGACCTCAATTTGTTGCTCAACTACGGTGGCTCGGTCGAGCATCGGTACAGGTGCAATCCCGTTAATACTAAGACGCACAGCCACCTCGGCAGATGGCCGGAGAGGAGTGATGGCAATGCTAGGCCAGGTGGAAATTGCTGATGATCAAATGCTAATGATCTGCACTACCAACCCGTTGTGTGACCCATCTACACGTGTATCGAGGACTCCTAGCAACACACCGAAATGGTCCTGAGGATGTCAGATGCGATGTGGTAAACCACTAAGACCACTAATACCTGTTGTATTCTTTGTTATGAAAGAGGGCACGATAATAGTCAGCTAATGTCACCCTTCCGCTGAATACTTTTACTTTCACTTTAACTATTATAAGAGACTCAAAGGATGTTCGCTAGGCAAGCCGTTTTAAAACAATTACCCTTAGATAGCGGGTGGGGTATTGCCGATAATAATATTATCACCAAAGATATCGCTCTGGACGAGCTGGTGCAACACATGATTAAAATAAACTTACGTTATTGCTTGGTATCAAGTGCTTCTGGTCGTCGCACGCTACGGCAGCGCCGACGAGGAGCTCGTACGAGTCTAATTAATATTTGAGCAATTTTAGGTTAGTCTTGATATATGTGATCCATTTACGGGATGTCGCCCCTCTATCTAAGTTCGATTCAAACGCAGGAGATCTACAAGAATTACGGAGCGATCGAATATGAAGCAGATCCCAGCTGGTGTCAGTAATTAGCGACTTGAATCACCCTTTGCCGAGGTCTGAGTCTGGAGGGGAGCAGTTCATTTTACAGCCCCCGACCTGGGGTAGATATAGCGCTTGATCTTGGGTTTCGCTTCGGATCATGGGCAATAAGGGGTTGGAAGAGACCGATTTAAGCGCCGTCAATGGCGCGACGAACCTTTACACAAGGACAAGGGCAGCGTCGTTGCTAATTAGCCCTATTCTGCGGGATTGTGGAGGTCGAGCCGCTTTGACTCTTCTTTGTCCTTAGGAAATAGGTTTCATACTCTCTCCCCCGGAGAAGGTCTCGTCAATGTTCTGGAAATGGCAGGGTGTTCCACAAGGTCCCTGGCGAGGGCACAAATGGTCGCTGGGTGGAGGTCATGTCATGCTGAACTCGTCCGGCGGACAGTCCACAAAGTACACTTGTAACTGTCGAAGCAGAAGGTGGACCGCAAGATCTGTCGGCGTTTTAGCAATTGCTGATTCGCTCGGCAGCATCCTGGCGTGCCCACCGAGAGCTCCATCAGCACGTGGATGGTGACCTCCCACTCGAGTCCGCCGCGCGAACTCTGTTGCCTTGGTACATATGTACGAATACCCATAAAGGTTAGCTGTTTCGAGCAGTGTGGTGTGACGTGAGAGGGTTTCCCCGCGAGGTTTTGGAACGGCAAAACAACAGGCTTGCTGAGTCATAACTCCAGAATTCCTGGAGTACACGACATTTGTGTGGGTGTCCATGCCAGCTTGGTGAATCCTGGCGCCGGTGGTCACCCCTTTTTTTTTCGCCCAGTAAGGCGACGGAAGGGTCGCACCCCGTTGGAGATTGGCTAGGCGCAAGCCGACAATACCCCACCCACCGCGCCAGGGCTCACGAGGCGCATCTGTTGATTCGAGGGGAGGTTTTGCCCCCAGCTGAGCCGGGTTGTTGGAGTGAGGTTTAGTTAGTATTTTTTGAGCTTGTTTTTAGTGGCTTCGGTCTGAGGAGGGTCGCTCTTTCGGTGATTGGGGCGGTCCTATGTCTTTTGCTATGTAATGATGTTCGTTTAGTTTTCGGTGATGTTTCTGCGACTCGGTCACCGTTGCTCGCGGAAGGGGGGCGGGAATGAAGCGGTCGGGGTTTATTCTTGATGAACCTCCACTAGGCCGAAAAGGCCGTCTGGCGGCCAACCCCCGCTCCTTCGTCGCCGGCGTTCACCCGTCATCCCTACCATTTTTCAAAGGGCTGACAGTGGGTTCCCAGGATCTCACGGAGTGGGTCAGCCCTTCAACCGTTCTGGATGACGCGACCTTCACCGCGATGCCATGCATGCATGGAGCCAATGGCGCTCAGCATGCGGAATCTGCAGCGTCGCTCTCTTTGCGAGTCCGCCAATGTGCGGCCCATCTTCCGCTGCAACCTGACTGGAACAGGGCCTCGTTTCCCTTTGGCCCTTGCCTTTCACTCACTGGACCATCTCCCATCATCCATGGAGCGAAGTGTACCCCGTTGTCCTGTTTCTGCTTCCCTTCCGCCCTCGCGTCTGCTCCCTTCCACGTTCCGCCTGTTCCGTGCTTCCACGCTCTGCCCCCGTTTCTTCGCCGCCACATCCCGCGCGGGCAGCCCGACGGCCAACGGGTTCTGGCTTTGATGTGTCCATGAGGTGGATCGGTGGTGCTGAGGTGGTGTGCACTGTGTGTCGGAAACAAGTTTGCCAGGGGCGGGGGTCTGGTAAGGCTCAACGGTTTAACCTGGAACAATTCCAGCTTTTGGCCGAGGGCGACCTTATTCTCCCCACTTTATGGGTGAGGTGGCAGCTCCTTGGAACTCGGATAATTCCTCAGGCGATCTCGCGGGTGAAGGGCCTGCTTACTAGCATTAATCGAAACTGGGAAATTCGGAGAGGAGACTCGCAGAGGCTGTAGCAGGAAGTTTCCGACCAGTGCAGTATTTTTTCCCACAGTGGGCGACATGGGAGTGGGGTAGGTAGAGGTGACCGGGGCGTCTCAGCGGGGGGTGCTCATTGCCGGCGGCCCCACATCCTACGGCGCTGGGCTGAGAATCACAGAATCCACTGGCTTTTGGCTGACAGGCCTCCTGACACCCGGCTGCTGACTGGTGGCATCCACCCGTCTGCCCACACGCCGCTCCACTGGGCTGCACTGCAACATCCCAAGCAGGCTCGCAGGGCAGCTCAAACCCACAACAATTTCCCCACCACCTGCCCTGCCTTTTTGCCTTCGTCCCAATGGCCTGGGTGCCTGGTCTCGCTGGGTGAGCTTTGTGGTCGCAGGAGGGCCCCCAGTCTGCGTTTTATTTTTCGGCCCTTTCCCCCGAGCGCATCGCGTTCATTTGTTGATTACTTGTAACCGACCGACCGCCGCCTTCCTTGCCTCCTTCCCGCTCGACGCTGCTCCGATTCGTCTTGAACCCATGCGTGGGGTGTTGTCGTTGCGAGCTGTTGCGCTGGGTTTCGCTGAGCCTGCAACCAATCCTCGGCCTCGAGCACGGCACCACCGGTTGCTGAGAGTTACTTGACCAGCTGAGAGCACCTCCGAGCGTCAAGACAGGCGCCAATTCTTCTCAGGAGCCAGCTTGCGGGGCGTCGCTTTCTGAGTTCGGCCCGGTCGGTGTGGTCTACTTCTCTCCAGCCACACAAAAGACTCTCGGGGCCTCGTCAGCGGCGGCGGTGGCAAGGGTTCGCCTTGCACTTCAGCTCGACTCTCTGCTCACAGCCTTGGTCGGGCCCGCCATCCACGGCTTGTCCTACGAAACTCATCTCTGGACAACATCGCTCGACCATTTCACTCGTCCGTTACCCCATTGCCACACCTTTTGACGCCCGGCTACCTCCAACACCACCATGGCCGCCATCCCCATCCAGGCGCCCTCACGGGGGTACGGGGGACGGGACATGAGCCCCAGCCCTCTCCCGTCGATATCAACCGACCGCGGGGAGACGCTCTCGCGTCCCTTCGGACCGCCAAGCCACCTTGCTCCGTTCGGCGACAACCTTTCCCCGTCTGCGGCCTCAAATCCCATGGCGATACGTGGAGTAGACCAGAGCAACGTCCCACCACCATTACCGCCTCCTCGCTTGGTTCCCGTGAACGGCCCTGTCGATCCCAAGGCCCAATTCCAATTCCGTGACAGCATGCGCCGGGATGAGTATGGCAGCTCCGACGCCGACTCGTTCGGCCACAGTTTCCGTCGCCGGGAACCTTCGTTCCGCAGCGACATCTCCGATGACGGGTATCACAGCTTTGACAGCATCAGGTAGGCTTTTTATTTATTTGTTTATTTCCCCCTTCCCCTTTCCCCCCATTGTTACCCGGTAATTAACATGCCGTCTTGGGCCGTGCAGGTCCGCCGGCTTCCCTTCACCATTTGGCCATCAAACGATGAAGAGCTTCCGACCGAGCGGAGACTCGATTGATAATTCTATGCTCGATAAACTGAACCGTCCTGCTCGCCGCCCGGGTCTGAGCGCCTCCGTGAACGACCTGCCCCGAAATCGCCCCCACCATGCCCAACTCACCACACTCTCCCTCCCTCACCGGACACGGCAGCCATTTCTCGAAGCGAATTTTACCAAATCCCCCGTGCCAATATCAGCCACATCGCCAATTGCCTCTCCTTTCGGTCATTATCCCCGAGGACTAAGTGACCACCGTTCACCGATCGCGGCAGAGGGCGGTGGCGATTACGATCGTTCCCCGCTCCCTCGCGTCCGGAGAATGCATAGCGGCTTTGCGGCGGATGAGGGCGTGCAGCCCGGTTATAACGGATACGACATGCGTGAGGACGAGACCGACTTTCCGATGGAGGAAACGACTCGGATGCGTAGCCTGGCGATCGAGGACCAATGGAGGGACCGAGATCGGGACTGGGATCGAGAGCGACAAAGGGACCAGGAGAAGGAAAAGGACCGAGAGTGTTACCAGCCAGGTCAGAAACGAAGGGCTTCTTCGCCCCCCAGCGACGACGCGTCTTTCGCTAGTGACATGCTGAGGAGGAGGGATGGCGGCTTGGTCTCTCGAGGCTCGCCAACACCACGGCTGCTGGTCATCCCCCAGCACCAGCACTCGGTTTCCAGTATTTCTTCCGCGAGTCGGAGCGGTAGTTTTGCAAGTAACCTCACCGCGAGCAGCATTACGAGTATGGGCTCCTTCGGACGCCGCTCGCCGGGCGGCTTGTCCCCAACTGATCCGATGAGCACGAGCACCAGCGCCTACCCACCGCCCAACAACACATCCACCTCCCCCCGTCTTTCGGCGGGTCCACCGGCCGGTGCGCCGTCGCCGCAACACCGGAACCCGGGTGAGCCGTTATTGCCAACGCAGATCACGCGCACTGTCGCATCGCCACGGAAGTTGGCAGAAATTCCAAAAAGCCACGGCGGGTTGGCTTCTAAGCTTAAGGGTCCTTACATGTGCGAATGTTGCCCAAAGAAACCCAAGAAGTTTGACTCAGAGGAAGAACTACGGTGTGTGACCTCCCGTGACGTGTATTTCGGGCTTTATCCTATCCTAACATCCTTTTTTTAGAGCCCATGAAGCCGAGAAACAGTACGAGTGTTCCTTTTGCGGAAATCGGTTCAAAAACAAGAACGAGGCGGAAAGACACCAAAACTCGTTACATGTTCGGCGTCACAGCTGGTCTTGTTCGGCATTGACAGGTTACGAGCGCGCATTTCACGACAGCACGACTCGCCCCGGCGAAGCCGACGTCTGTGGATATTGTGGGGAAGAGTTTCCTCGCAGCGGAAATAACAAGGGCACAGCGTGCGTGAACGAGCAGGATTGGGAGGATCGCGTCCGGCATCTCCAGGACGTACACAAATTTCGGGAGTGCAACTCGAGCAAGAAATTTTACCGGGCCGATCATTTCCGCCAACACCTCAAGCACAGCCATGCGGGCACGAGCGGGAAGTGGACAAACATGCTGGAAAACGCGTGTATGATGGAAGAGGAGCCCCCCGTTCCCACCAGATGAAAAGGCCTCCGATCAGAGCGGGGCACTTGACAGGGATCCCTCTGCGCCATTCAGGGTTTGAAGTCACGTGCCACGTTCAGACGTTTCTTCCTGGAGAGACAGACGTCATAAGGCCCATAACTGACCAAGCATAGCCAACCTGCAAGCATTGTTTTCCAATACATAAAATTCGAAGCTCATTTACGGCGGTGAAGTACCGCGACTCGACCGCTTCGGTAACAGTTTTGGGAAATTCTGCCCCGTTTTGACGGATCCCGAGTCGTGGCAAGTGGGGCAAAGAGAGTCCGGCCCTACGGAGATGGCCGGGGAAGGAGGATGCGACGCTACGGTTGTCAGCGGATGTAGGATCGACGCCCTGGGCCGAACCGGGTTCACACACGGGTGCCTGTGGATGGACTGTGACAGGCAAGCTTCGCAAGCATCACCACACGTATCTCCTGCATATTGTTGTTGGGATGCCCATGAAGACCGGATGGCCGGGGTAGCCCGGGGCGACGCCGACTTGGACGGTTGGACCGCCTGTCCGGCGACAAAGGGTAGATGAGGGTTCCCGGGATATCTTCCGGTTGGCTATGCGACAGCCTGGGAGGTACGAGACGTGTTGAACGTGGGGTCACAGCCGACGACCGCCATGTTAGGGCTGACGTGTAGTCTCAGCGGCTGATGTAGGCAGGAGGAAAACTGGCGATTCTCCGAATTAAGGCGGGCGTCCCTGACCAGGAGCCCAACAGGTAAAAACCTTGTTTTATCCCCGCAAATATATGATGTTACGATTTCTCCCTGCAGCAACATCGGATCACCTCGTCTCGTCTCCGTTTTCTTGGAAGCTTAAGCTAGTCGCAGGTCTTTGACCAACTTGTCCAGCTCTCCCGTGTTGGCGCCGGAGAACTGGCTCACCTTCTCACCATCCTTGAAGGTGAAGAAGATCACGGGTTACGGATACTGCTCTCCCTTGAGCTGGTAGAATGTAGCGACGTTGTGTAATAGATCATGTTTGGTCACCCTTATCCTTTTGAACACCCTCCTGGCACAACGGATTGGGTGCACCACGCAACGCCTTCGAGGGGCGTAGACCCAGGCGGCGATTTCGCTGGGAGCCGTGCTGCACGAAGTATTAAGGGGTAGCAAAGGATTGAAGCTGTTTACACTTGTTGGATGCTTGAGCGATGAGAGACGCCCAAGCCATGCTGAGTAAAGCCCGGTGAAGCCGCTTTTACACGATGGAGCATACCTACCTACTCAACCCTTGTTAGTGCATGCCGTTTTGAACCAGGAGATGGCATTTTGGATCACCGGGACGCACCACGCACAATTTGGCTTGTTTGTCTCTGGGCTCAATGAAGTAGACGTTCTGGCCGGTGCTTTGCTGGAGTTTACTCCGGGGTCCGATTCGATCTGTGTCACGCAACAGGTCTCAGATCGCGGTTGCGCGTCCGGGCCGGCATTGGCCAGTTCCCTACTCCACTCCCGCGCCCCACCGTAGATCGGGCGCGGGCCACAACAAATCACCCCACCCAGTTGACCTTCTAGATTTCAACGAGATGAGCCTTGGGCGGGGACAGAATTTCTGACCTAGCGCGCCAGAACAGGTGAACTGTCAACGATCAACTTCCGCCCTTGCTGTTATGGCTTTGAACCGAATTGAAGGGACCGACAACCTGTTCGTCGGAGGGTACGTGTTAGATGGGGTGGAATGCAAGGAGAATCAAAGGCTGACGTCAACCGCAACAGGGTCTTCGGTTTAAACCGCCCAAGGGTCCTCGAAGAGCACAATATCCGCTCCATCCTCTCCGTGATAAAATACTCGTTACGGTACGATGACGACGTGTTTCAAAATGCCGAACACTTGAGCATCGACATCGATGATATGGAGGACCAAGACATACTGGCACACCTCCCGAAGATGGTCCGATTTATCGACCGGGGACTTAATGCTGGGGTGGCTTCATTGTCGTCCTCGAGCGACGCAAAGACGGCGATCTCATCTTCCGAGTCGCCCCCCGGTGTCCTCGTCCACTGCGCCATGGGGAAATCACGGTCTGTTACGGCCGTCATCGCATACTTGCTCTGGAAATACCCACATCGTTTTGGCAAACACGACCCAATAGTAACGACCCAAGAGGTCGTTGCGCGCGCTTTGGCATGGGTTCGCAGGACGCGGCCCATGGCCGAACCGAATGAAGGGTTCATGGCCCAGCTTGAAATGTGGTGGGAGATGGGCTGCCCAGCCGACAGTGACGATGCCGTCGAGAAAGAAGCTGCATATCAGCGTTGGCTCTACAAGCGAGAAGTCGAGGACGCCACGCGGATCGGGAGGGCGCCCGACCGTATTCGTTTTGAAGATGAGGCTCAAGAGTCTAGCGCAACAGACCCAGCGGGAAAGCCTGGTAACGGGAACATGGAGCTCAAGTGCAAGAAGTGCCGGCGTGTTCTGGCGAACGAGCCATTTATCGTTCCCCATCAAGGCCGCGGTAGCCCAGAGCGGTCCACCTGCCCGCACTATTTCATCGAAGCCCTCTCGTGGATGCGGCCAATCTTAGAGGAAGGGGAGCTCGACGGCCGGTTGATATGCCCAAACCTCAAGTGCTCTGCTTCGATTGGTCGTTACGCTTGGCAAGGGTTCAAGTGTAGCTGTGGGGAATGGGTCGCGCCAGCGTTCTCGCTGCAGACAAGCAAGGTTGACAAGGTTATCACCCAGAGAGAGAACCACGGGGCGGATGCTGTCGCGGAGCGGATGGCGGCGCTGGGCATTCGGATGCCCCCGTCCACAGCCCAGAAGCCCATTGAGACGCCAAAGGAGAATCTCTGAATGTGGAGGAAGGGTCTCGTTGATTGGCTCACAAGCTTCGCAGTCACTCCGGAAATCCAAACGCGATGCCTGTATCCCGGCCCTTGTAGAGAAATCGCGGCTGAGGACTATCTCAACAAGTCGATTTCCCGTTCCGTTCGGTGTCTAACCAAAATCCTCATCACACTTCTTCCTGCATATCAAGGGAACCCCAGATCCCACCAAGACGCCGCACTGGTGTAACTATCCAGCCGTTCCGAAACCAGCACGACGTTTTGCAACTCGCCGCTTGCTCGCACATCTCTCAGCTGCGGCCCGGCCGGTCATTCGGCTTTTGTGGGCTTTGCCAGCTAATGGCTGACCTGAGGACGCCAATTCGCATCCCCTTTGACTTTGTTGTCGGCTGACCTGACTGTGCATGGCAGACGCCTGAACTGGCTTCGATGCAGTGACAGCGCAGAGTAAGCACTAAATCCTGACGAAGCAGCCGGCATGCATTCTGGATGCAAGTTTTCCATGCACAGCGGTTGGGCGGGGTGGGATGAAGCAAAGGATCCTTCTTCCTGCACGCCGTTCCGGACAAACAAGATTGGCCCGGGACCCTTTCCGTGGCGTGAGGTGTCGAATGCCGGGCGAGGGGGAGGTGGGGAGGGGGGGGAGCGGGGCTCAGGGAATGCAAGGAGATATTGGTATTTTATCAGTGGATGAACAAGGGGGCATTGAGCCCGCTCTGGTCAGAGATCGAAGCTTTGAAGAAACCAGGGTGCCACGAGCAGCTTCCGGCACCGTTCTTTACTTCGTTGGCCATTCCGATGTGAGCAACGTTGCACGAAATCGCCCCCAACTCGGTGGAAGGGGATCAATGCTTGCGACGGGTTGTCAGATCGGGACATCGTTCCCCGCGGCACCGGGAGCCAGCTCGGGATCTTGGCAACGATGAGAATCTCGGATTTAAATCCGAAGACCCGGTACTCAGCGAATATCAGTGTCCACACATGGGGGATGGTCGAATTTCATGATGCCTCTCGAGCTCCAGTTTTGTTCGGAAGGGCGTGATTTAGTGTACAACTCGAGTTTCCTCATTTGGGCAGAGGGAATTATCGCAGAGCTCGACCATGCGGGCGTGTTTTCCTCGTTTCCCAATGCAACCCCTACGGTCTGCAGGGCTCGGCACCCGGCGTGGGGTTTCGGCCGGCCGTTGGCGCAGATTCTCAGCCTTGCCGCGAAGCAGATGCTCTTTTTCACAACCGTGAGAGTCTAGGGCCGTATCTGATTCGTGTCTGCTTCTCGGGAGCCTCAAGGGAGGTTCTTTGGTACGGAGGGAAAGTAAGTAGGATCCTGCAGGCGTTCACGGTTTCGGCGGGCAATCTCGGCTTGCCGCTTCTTGTTGACTCGTTGTTGGTAAAAGGTGCTGTCATGTTCCGGGGTGTCAGGAATGTGAGAGGAAACATGACGGGCAAGGTCTCACCTCTTGAGCTCAAACACGCGGGGCTCTTCTTCCTCGATAACAGGCACAGTATCGGTGTCCTTCTCCTGGAGAACAAGCGGGAGTCAATACGGGAGCTGCCAATGAATGGTAAATGTTTTGGGGTCCTGACTGTCTCTGCTTCTTCCTGGTTGGCCTTGCCGTTGCCACCCTTATCATTGTCTCCTGACTCCTCCTTTTTTTCTTCCTTCCCCTTCTCCTCCTTCTCCTTCTTTTTCTTCTGTTTCTCCTCGTATTCCTTTTTGACGCGTTCCACCTCTTCATCGAGCTCGCGCTTCTTGCGCGCTTCGATCGCCGCCTGGTCAATCTTGGGTGTGCAAAACCCGGTGTCCTTGAGATGCGCAGGGCAGACGTAGAACCAGTCCTATGGCGTAGTTAGTTTCCCGCCGTGCGACCACCCGGGCGGGGAACGGCGAGGCGGGCGCACCTTGTTGTCAGGTGTGATCAGCACGCTGGAGCTGAGCTTGTAGCAAATGTCGCATGCCTTGGGTTTGATCTCGGCGACCTTGCGGTGGGTGTAAACGTTGGGGAAAGCCATATCGGCGACAGTCGGGCGCATCGACGGACGGCGCGCCGTCGTTTCGGTGGAGTTCTGCAGACCGATGGGTGTGGAAGTCGGCGGCCTGAGTCGTGAGGCTGCGGGGCGGTTGGTGTGGGGCCGAACCCAAGATCCGGGCCATCTGACCGTTGGGTAATAACCGTAATATTACATCTGCCATGTTTTACACCTTACACACGATCGTTTGGAAATCACTGAATTTATCAACACAGGTCTCTTTCATTGATTTATTAGACTCCGCCAAATATCTCCATCACGCCTACTTGAAGAATGTTTTATTCGTCGGGCCACTCTATTTACTGATCACCGCAACGGTTGAGTTCCCCTTGAGTTGCTCCAACCCCAGGATTTCGGATCCCTTCATCTCCAACTTCCCAACTGAGTTCCCCTGGTTGTCCACCAAGTTCATGGTAGCACCGTCTTCGGCAAAGTAGCTCCTCACCTCGACGTCGCTGGTGTAGTCGTACACCGTCCGAGTTTCACCCTCTTTCCCGAGGACCAGGAGAGTGTTCGGTCGGACGAACAACGGCAAAGTCCCAAATCCATGCGTTTGGGTGTGCCAGCCCGATCCAACTATGACCTCCCCGCTAAAAAAGTTGGTCCACGGACCCTGAGGGAGGTAAAACTGTACGGTTCCATCTTCTTCAAAGATAGGCGCGACGAGCAGGCTGTCGCCCAGCATGAACTGGCGATCAAGAGTCCACGCAGTCGGGTCATCGGGAAACTCGATACACATGGCTCGGAGGCTCAGCGGGAGGCCGCCCTTGATCGACTCCTGGGCCTGGGAAAAGATGTACGGCATGAGCCGCGCCTTGAGATGCGTCCATTTGCGGAGTGTCGCGGAGCAGCCTTCCTCGGTCTTGTCGTCATCGTCGACCGTCCACGGCACCCGATACGAGTTGGAGCCATGCAGACGGGAGTGGGAGCAGAGCAGGCCAAACGCGACCCACCGTTTGTAGATCCACGGCGGCGGGGACCCCTCGAACCCGCCAATGTCCACACTCCAAAAGGCGAACCCCGACAAACCGAGCGAGAGGCCGCCGCGGACCGATTCGGCCATGGCTTCGGGCGTCGACTCGCAGTCGCCACCCCAAGTGAGGGGGAATCGTTGGTTTCCGGCCGTGGCGGTACGCGCGAACAGAACGGCCTCGTTCTTTCCGTAGCGTTTCTGCAACGCCTCATAGACTAGCTTGTTGTATATGAAGGCATAGAAATTGTGCATTCTCCCGGGGTCCACCGACGTGTCGAACCACTGCACATCCTCGAATGGGATACGCTCGCCAAAATCAGTCTTGATAGAGTCGATACCCTGGTCGAACAGCTTCTCCAGACACCCCACAAACCAAGCGCAGGCATCCGGGTTGGTGAAGTCGACGATACCCATGCCTGTCTGCCAGAGATCCCACTGGAAGATGTCGCCATTCTTACGCTTCAGCAGATACCCCTTGGCCGCGGCTTCCGCAAACACGGCCGATGCTTGACCCAAATAGGGGTTTGTCCACACGCAGACCTTTTTGACGATTCCGTCCGCCTTGAGCCGGCTGATCTGGCCCTTGGGATCCGGAAACATCTCACGGTCAAACTCAAAGTCGCACCACTGGAAAGCTTTGAGCCAGAAGCAGTCAAAGTGGAAAACCTCGACGGGGATATCGCGGGCTTTCATGCCCGTCAGGAAGCTGTTGACCGTCTTCTCGTCGTACGAAGTGGTGAACGACGTGCTTAGCCACAAGCCAAAGGACCAACTTGGGACGCCACCCGGTGCGCCGGTGAGGATGGAGTACTTGCTCAAGATCTCCCGCGGCGACGGCCCGTGGATGATGTACCACTTAAGGCGCTGACCTTCTACGCTCGTCTGGAGACGGCAGCACCTCTCACTGCCAATTTCCAGCTCCACGCGCTCGGGCGTGTCGATGAAAACGCCATACCCGCGAGAACTCAGGTAAAAGCTAATGTTCTTGTACGCCTGGTCCGACGACGTGCCGCCGTCGTCGTTCCATAGCTCCACTTTCTGGCCGACTTTGTTGAACGGGCCGAAGCGCTCGCCCAGGCCGTGGATGGACTCACCCACACCGAGCGTGGTTTGTGTGAAGGTGTAGTGCTTGATGTTGCGCATATCCGCCAGCTGCTTCGGGTTGCTCGTGGCGGGCGTGTAGGCGTAGCCCACGGAGCGGTTTAGGAGGGTAGTCAGGGGCTTTCCATTCTTGTCGCTGGAGTGGAAAGTAATGTTGAATTCGTGCGGTTTGCCGCTAACTGTCGCTGAGAGACTGCCGGCAGTGAGGGTCGTGCCGGTCTCAGTCTTGGTGATCCTGGCCTCAGCATCGGGGCGGCCGGCTGGGAAGAGGTCAAAGTCCGGTCCACGGCGGACAGCGCCTTGCCAATGGGTGGCTTCGATTGAGATGACACCGTCGAATGCTGCTTCGATGTCCTATTGAGAAATGTTGAGTGCATCGAGAGGTTGAGTTGTGCTGTTATGTCGATTGAACATACCAGACTGACTGTTCCCAGATTCAGGGTATCTCCCCGAGTCATGACCTTGCGCGTCGGGCACAGGAGACTGATCCCTTTGTTTGATGCCGTGGGAGTAATTCGGTACACCTCTTCGGCGTACTCGACGCGCACCCCCTCAGCCACCAGCCATTGTCCTGAACAGTCAGTATTGGATATCTGAGTTTTGTTGGGATTGGGAACATACCGTCGCGAAATTTCATGGTTGTTTGGCCGTTTGTCCGCAACTTTGACAAGCGCTCGTCCTCTGCGACAGGTTGAGCCGTCAACATTTGACAAGCGGCCTACCAAGAGCTCCGACCTCAACTTTTCATTCTCGACCCAGAACCCCTCCGCATGCGCGGGGTTCCCCCCGTGGGTCCAGGTTGTCTGGGATGGATGCGCTTAGCGAGACCACCTCGCGTTCGCGGAAATGTGACCGTCGTGCCGGATCGCAACTTCCCCGTCGCTCGGTTCTGAATGGGGGCATTGCGCCCGCCCTTCTGCGTGAATTCGGTGGGGTCGCGGCTGTCGGGCGTTCGGGAGAATGTTGGCCGAGACTTGATTGGTGGAACCGCGGCTCCGTTGATGGGGAAGTTTGGTTCTTCCTTCCCTTGGTTCATGGCCGAAATTCCAGTCATTGGAGCGGACTGTAGGCTTCCCTTCTGGAATCAGGGACCAGGGCTTGCCGGGGCGGAAGCTGGAAGTGCGAGACACTCTGATTGGGGCCCGTCCCGTTCCTGAGGCTTCCAGGGCCAATTCTACCATGCTCCGAGACAGCCACACTTGCAATGTCGAGACCGTGAGATCCCACAATTAGTTTCGCTCAACGTGGATCGAGATGGTATGGTAGCATCACAGGGTCGGATGCGGGACACGCCGACGTCGATTCCGTGGATCTTAATTCGATGTTTACGGTTCACCGGCTAATAGCATTCGCACTGCGAAATGGAACCTGTATTGCGGTAGCAGCGGTACAAGAACGACGCGATCCTAAGATGGATGTGAGCGGCCGGCTTTCCTGTTTGACGACCGCACGATACTCTCGCGACGATGAGAATCTTGGCGACAGCCCTCCTACTTGCCACGGCTTCCATCTCGGCGGCCGATAACCGGCCGAGCCTCGACGATGCCGTCTACAAGGACCCGAATGCCTCAGTTGACGACCGTATTGCCGACCTTCTCTCTCGTATGACGATTGAAGAGAAGGCATCCCAGCTCCTCCAGGGCGACATCCGCAATTGGATGAACGAGAATACGGGCGCGTTGAACGAGACGGGCCTAGAATGGAGCACGGCGTATCGCGGGAGCTCGTTTTACGTTGGCGTCCCCGTTCCAAACGACTGGCTTGCAAAGAATATCAAGGTGGCGCAGGATTATATCCAGGAAAACACCTACCTCGGCATCCCCGCGTTTGTGCAGACCGAGGGTATCCACGGGTTCCTGGCTCGTATGTGCCTTTTCTTATGAGACGTTTGACTTATTACTAGAATTATTGACTGGTAACATTTACAGACAATGCCACCATTTTCAACTCACCTATTGGTCTCGCCTGCTCCTGGGACCCCTCCTTGATCCATGACATGGCCGTGGCTATCGCTAAGGAGTCCCGGGCCTTTGGCGTGAACCAACTGTTCGCTCCACTCGCCGATCTGGCCCGCGAGCTCCGTCACGGTCGTGTCGAGGAGATGTACGGCGAAGACGGCTTCCTGGTCGGCGAGTTCGCCTATGCCTTTGTCCAGGGCGCACAGTCTGAAGGGGTTAGCGCCATGGTCAAGCACTTCGCCGCCTTTGGTGTGACAGAACAGGGGTTGAACACAGGCCCGATGCATGCCGGTGAGCGTGAGCGCCGCACGACGTATCTGCCTTCCTACCGCCGGGCCATCATCGATGGTGGCGCCTACTCCATCATGACGGCCTACCACAGCTTCGACGGGATCCCCGCCGTGGCCGACCCGCACTTGCTCACGGACATTCTACGCGAGGAGTGGGGATACCAGTACTTTACCATGACGGACGCCGGCGCGTCCGACCGGCTATGTGTGGATTTCAAGATGTGCAAGTCGGACCCCATCGACAAGGACGCCATTGTCCAGTATATTCTCCCCGCTGGTGGCGATGTTGAGATGGGCGGCGGTTCTTATTCTTTTGAGAATATTCCGAGTCTTGTGTCGGCCGGCAAGCTCGATGAGGAGATTGTCAACACCGCCGTCAGCCGCGTGCTCAGGGCCAAGTTTGAGCTCGGCCTCTTCGAAGCTCCTTATCCTGGACTGCCAATAGATGAGGCTAACAAGGTTCTCCACGCACCGGAGCATGTCGCGCTGGCGCAAAAGATTGACGAGGAGTCCATTGTGTTACTCGAGAACCACAACAAGGTGCTTCCGCTGAAGAAGGATGCGTCCGTTGCCGTGATCGGACCCATGGCACACGGTTTCATGAACTATGGCGACTACGTGATTGTCAACTCCTCCACGCGCGGCGTCACACCCCTCGATGGCATCAAGGCGCTCAGTGAGGGAACCGTTACCTATGCCAAGGGATGCGAGCGCTGGTCATCTTCCCAGGACGGATTCGGCGATGCTGTTGCTGCGGCCGAAGCGGCCGATGTGGCGGTGGTTGTCGTTGGGACTTGGTCCCGGGACCAGAACGAGCTTTGGCAAGGACTCAACGCCACGACGGGCGAACACGTCGACGTGAACAGTCTCGACTTAGTGGGCGCGCAGGAACCACTTGTCCGGGCCATCGTGGCCACCGGAAAACCTACCATTGTCGTCTTCTCTTCCGGCAAGCCTGTCACGGCACCCTGGATCTCGGAGAACGCAGCCGCACTTGTGCAGCAATTTTACCCATCGGAGCAGGGCGGTGCCGCGCTCGCCTCCATTTTGTATGGTGACGTCAACCCCAGCGGGAAACTCTCAGTTAGCATCCCGTACACTGTCGGCGATCTCCCCGTTTACTACGACTACCCGAACTCAGGTCGCCCGTCCACCCCTGACGCGGGTGTGGCATACGAGAACGGCACTTTGATCTTTGGCCACCAGTACGTGTTTGGCAACCCTAGCCCACTCTACGAGTTTGGCTATGGTTTGAGCTATTCGACATTCACGTACGGTAACGTCACGGTTAACAAGAAGACGGTTACGCCTGAAGACACGGTTGAGGTCAGCGTAACGGTGAAGAACACATCCGAGCGGGATGGCAAGGAAGTGGTGCAGGTCTACGTAAAGGATGTGATCGCTAGCATCGTGGTGCCCAACATCCAACTCCGGGGCTTCCAGAAGGTCGCGCTGAAGGCGGGTGAAGCCAAGCAGGTAACCATCAAGGTCAAGGTGCAGGATCTGGGAGTTTGGAATGCGCAGATGAAGTATGTTGTAGAGCCGGGCGACTTTGTGTTTAGCGTGGGCACCTCAAGTAGCGATTTGAAGGGGAGCGTCACTGTTGTTGTGGAGTAGTACTTCAATTGCAAAAGGAATCTATCGCTTTATCTCTAGCCAGTCCAGCCGACTTGTTCCCGTCCGCTCTCTTAGGCGTGGGTCACAGCGCAGCTGGAGGTGCCAATGCCCGCGCTGCAGATACGAGTGCACCCGATGCCCAGGTCCGCAACCTTGATGCAGTCGCCATCCTTGAGCGACGTGAGGAGGTCGCCCTTGCACTTGTCGCCGTCGCTGTCCTGGTACGCGTACCAGGTGTCAAACACGGCGTCCGTCTTGATCGACTTGATGTTATCCGTCAGGGGGGCATCGCCTAGCGAGAGGCCGTTGTACACCTTCTTGTCGACCTCGTTCGTGCTGAGCGTGTTAGTTTGCAGTGCATAGACGATCCAATTGGAGAGCACGTACCAGTTCTCATCGTCGTACATCTTGGTTGCAGCACCAAGAGCCGTGCCAGCCAAGCCGGCAATGAAAAGGAGAGTGGTAGCGGCGTGCATTGTAACGGTTTGTTAGGTAGATGAGAGATGAGTGGAGTTGTTTGGTAGTTGTCTGGTTAAGTAATTGATGTGATGCTGATGATGATGAGATGTTGATTTTCACAGTTGAGGACTGCTACTTTATACTTCTTTCTGCTTGGATTCTGAACTCTCTTCGACTATCTCGTATCCCCGATGAAGCCAGACCGGCCGTACTCAGCATTGTCTCAGGAAACGCGCCCGTCGCGGCCCGGTCAAAGGCTGCGGCCGGGATCTCCACGTGGAGACACGGCGCAAGGACACGGCCCGGCGACAAAGCGCGCAATCGGCGTATAACAATGTTTTGGGTTGGGCCGCCCGCTGGGCCTACGTGCGGCCCGGCCGTGGGGCGACCGTCGAGTTCACCGATGTTTGCGACGACAATCGCGATGATTTTAAGTCCGAGTCCTCGCAACCCTGGCTGACTGGCTAGCAGCCGGCTGTCATCAGTGGTTTGTCTGTTTTGAATGCAGTGGTTCCACTGCCGAAACCAATCCTCAAATTGTCTCAATCCGCAAGACCGCCACTTTGTCAGCTCGTAACCTGTTTTCCGTACCAATCGTCCCATCGCGATATTCCACTTCCATCTGCCTTTTCATGATGTAGTCTCTTTCTTTAGTTCTTTGTTTCTTTGTCTTTTAAACCTGTATCCCGTGATGGGTTCAAAGGGAATAAAGCCGGCCACGTAACCTTTATCTGATATTGATGTTCGTCGAGTGAGTGGACGTCGGCCGGCTGGGGTTGGGAGGGTTTAATCTTACTAATCATTTGTACGGGCCACCGCCTCGCCAAGCCCATTTGCGCTAGACCCATTGTGATTTCGGACAAAGTCAGCCCGAGATCCTGATTCGGAAATCGGCCGAGGAATTTAAGCTTCCCAAGGTCTCCACCCCGCCGGGGCCACGCGACTTCCCAACCCCATTCCCGACCACCTCCAACTCTCACTGGTGGCTTTTCTGATGCGCACGAATCACACCGCGGCGCAACGCCGCCCGAACACCTCAACTGGGTGTGATGGACGATTGCCAGAATGGTTTCACGAAGCGAATGCACAGGCTCGGAACTGGGGTTTGGAACGTTGGTTGGCGCCGGTGACCCGGGAAGCAAGCTTGCATTTGCTTGGGGTGGGTGAGCTGGGGGGTTGCATTCATATAAGGAAACTGGTGCGGCGTTGACTTCATGCCGTTCCATGGCAAGCTGATATCGTGGTAAATTTGACTGGCCACCATGGGGAAAGCCTTCAACATCTCCCTCGCGGCCTTTGCCGCCACGGGGTATGAGCAGACCTACACCCGCCGCCTGAAGCTCTGAACCATCAGCTAACAATGTTAGGTCGTTCCTCTTCGGGTATGACTCCGGTGTTATGACCGACGTGATTGCGTCCGAGGACTTTCTGGAGTTCTTTCACACCGATACCGGGAGCGCCATTATCGGGGCCATCAACAGCACCTTCTCCGGCGGAGCAGTGTTTGGCTCACTGATGGGCGGCCTCACTATGGACAGGTTCGGCCGACGGAAAACCATCCTGATCGGGGCGCTGATTGCGCTTGTTGGTGCAATTCTCCAATCAGCGGCGCAAAACCTGGCCATGATTCTTGTGGGCCGGATCGTTGCAGGCTGGGCCGTTGGCCTGCTGAGCATGTCGGTTCCGGTCTACCAGGCCGAATGTGCCCATCCTCGGATCCGCGGCCTCATTGTTGGCTTGTCACAGCAGATGATTGGAGTTGGCTTTATCATGTGAGTGTTTTGAGTTTAATTACTCGGTCGGGGTAGTCGCTGATGACAATAGCTCCACCTGGGTTGGGTATGGTTCATCGTACGCTGCCGGGGAGTTAAGCCAGTTCCAGTGGCGATTTCCCCTTGCGTTCCAGGCGCTGCCAGCCCTGATGCTGGTCAGCGGGATCATGTTCTTCCCGGAGTCGCCCCGCCATTTGATAGAGAAGGACCAGGAGGAGGAGGCCATGAGGGTGTTGCGGAAGCTCCATTATGACGGCACCAATGAGGACTGGGTCCAGCGGGAGTTTCACGAGATTAAGACAACCATCGCCGCCGAAAAGGCCATCACAGCGCCGGGCTGGCGAGTCATGTTCACTGTCCCGCAATGGCGGACGAGGCTCATGCATGGTGTTGCTGTTCAAGTGTTTACACAATTCACGGGTATCAACGTTATCGGGTAACTACATCTTTTTTCTTGTTTTTCTCTCCTTTTTATTCGCCAAGACAAGAACCCGGCTAATAACGCAGATACTATCAAACCCAAATGTACAACTCCCTTGGCATCACTGGGAACAGGGCGCTTCTCGTCGCCGGTATCTACAACTGTCTCGGTCCTCTCGCCAACCTCGTCTTCATTGTCTTCCTCATCGACCGTGTCGGCCGTCGGCGCCCCCTTCTGTGGGGCACCGTTGCGATCGCCGTTGCGCTTATCTGCGAATCTGCAATCAACAGTCGCATCGACCCCGATGACCCGGACCACGGCTTGTCCATTGGCGGTGTCTTCTTCATCTTTTGTGTCACCGTCATCTTTTCCTGGTCCTGGGGCCCGATCTCGTGGGTGTACATGTCCGAGACGATGCCTATGCAGATCCGGGCTCGCGGCAACGCCTTTGCGACAGGCATTGGCAATTGGCTCGTCTCGACGTTTTGGTCGCAGGTCTCGCCAATTGCGCTCAAGGCACTGCAGTGGAAGTTTTACTTCTTGTTTATCGCGTGGGATATCGTCATCACCATCCCGGTCGTGTACTTCTTCTTCAAGGAAACGAAGCAGCTCTCGCTGGAAGAGATTGACGTCTTATTCGGCGAGCGCGCGCTCGGTGCGTTACCAAGGGATCTCAACAAGGATGAGCTTTCCCATCCGCAGGAGCAAAGGAGAGAGGATACGACAGTATAGATCCACAGGACGAAGTATTTTCACGCGGATCCATGATGTCTTCAACCTTCAATATCTTGGAACTCATATTAATACGCAGACCCATCAGGCTAACGATACTCATTCAAAAGCCACCACTAAAGGGAATGACAAGTTTTAGGCATGGTTTCGAGGATGTATTGTCTGTTCCCTCGGGCCCAGTATGTCGGATTATTAGTTTCTCTTCTCAAGCTGGACTTGAAGGCAGCGGTCGAATACCCAGTGGACGGGATCCCATTCATGTCGTTCGCCCGCCAAGAATTTCGACCAGTCCCATGCTGACTTTTCAGAGTGCGCTTTGGTCCTTCATCGCTCCAATCGTGCGGAGAGGAAATGAGATGTCTGCCCGACGGTTAGCTCCCTCGAAATTCTCGCATGGATGGAGGCTTCTGACGTGCTGCGAGCTACGAAGTCGTTAATATCGTTACCGCTGACCCTGGCAGTGGTTGTTGTGTCCCTGCAGACTTTAAGCCACAGCGAACCGGCCCTGATTCCGCGGTCAACAAATCGGCTCTTTTCGCTCATGTACCACTTGACAACCCCTACAAGCGTCTTATGCTCCCAAAGCCGCCCAGGCCCCCCTCCCACACTCTCCGTGTAGCCCTGCGGCGCTACATCTGTCGGTATCACCGCCAGGTCGTGTCCCCTCAAGAATAAGAGAAAGGTATGCACAATGTCGTGTGCAATCGTGATACTCCATTTGGCGATATATCGCTCGTATACCTCTCGATATAAACACGAGAGGTTTGCGTCCCGGTTATTTCTGTGTCAATTCAGTCGTGCTTCGGCCAGAAACCCCATCGACTTGGGCACGTCAAGTTCAGTCGGCTCAGCTCATGGTCGGTAAGGGGGGCCTGTGAGACTTGCCAATGAACGGAACATGCACTTGTTACCTCCGTCATCATCCATAGTTCAGCATTTCCAACGAATTTTTTGGGCGTCTAACGGGATAGGATGCGTGAAGTGAAAATGTGCAAGCCAATTGGGGGCGTTGAACTTTCAGGGAATTTGGAGACTTTGACAAACGCCGAGTGGACAAAACCTTTTCGGGTTTAGTCGCCGCCACCGCCGCATGCATGGCATGTTTGCCGAACAGATCTCACGCTTGACTTCTGTGACCTGAATTATACTATAGTACACCACCCCACAAGGTTGCTTGAGCTTAAGATGTTGAATCAGGGTGTTTCCGATCGTTCCGGGTCCTTCGGAGTAGGGCATGGCCCGGATTGGCCAGTGAAAAGTTTTGTTCTATCGACAGGCCTCTGACCCAAGCCATTGGAGTATATCGACTAGTGTCCTTCGTACATCTACTCGTGGGTAATTACATCCAGTCGGCCGTTAACATCACCCCAAACAAGGTCCCAAAATCTTCCTTCGAAACGTTTCGGGAGGGATTGCACAGCCTGGATCCTTGCCAAACAATTGGGGACAAATGGAATCAAGATGTAACCTGAAGAAAGAAGCCGGTTAAAGTGACTCCATGATCGCACATCGGGGATGTGATCTAAAAGTAGTGTAGGACTCGGTAGGCCCCGACCGTTGACAGATTCGACAGTTTTACCGTTCTCGGCGTTAGCGCCCTCTGACATATCAACTTGTCAGACCCTTCTTTAGGCTGCGGAAGCTCCCGCAGCTGTCCTCCCGCAGCAACCTCGTGTCCCCGGGTTACCGGATTTCACTTGTGTAACGAGGAAGCCTCTTGATCGGTGCCATTTATATATGCAATGGACTGTGCAAGGTACGCTGACACAGAGCTGAGCAATCGTGAGCTACGGCCGTCTCGATCGAGCGAGGGGTGTTGTTGATGAAAATAAAAGCTGCGCATCTTCCCTCAATGCTGTTGGAATACCTAGACACAACAGGTTAAGAACAGCTACCATGCACGTCACACTCTCTTCTTTTGCTCTTGTTGCAGCGGTCAGCGCTTTGCCCAATCGGCAAGGTCGCGCAGACGCGGCCACAGCCAACGCCTTTACTCTTGTCGCTCATGCCCCGGACCCCAACGTTGACCTGGACCCCTCCGTCGAGGGCCTCGTCCTCAGCTCTGCCCACACAGGCGCCGGTATCAGCGTCGCTGTCTTCACCGACGGTACCCCCCGCCTCTTTTACCAGAATGGCACGGCCGGTGCCAGTACGCTGCTTACGGACAGCGGCTCCCCTCCGTTCCCGTCAAGCCTCCAGTTGCAAGCCATCACGGAGCCCCGCACCGCTGGGAGCATCAGCATCGGGCAAGGGTCGCCAGCGTACGTCGGTGACTTTGGCACCGTGATTAACGGAATCGAAGTCGGCACTTTTCTCGCATGCCCAGAGGTGGTCCCCTATTACAACCAGACCTTCATTACACTGCAGTACGTGTACGGCGATGCTGCCGCCGGCGATGTTCCTGGCTGCGCCATCATCGACCTTCAAGCCAGGTGCGCTACTCTCAACGACCTGCCCGATGGTAGCATCTCGAACCACCATTTCGCCACGGACGTCGTTTGCCAGTAGGGCACAGCGCTATAACACGATGTCAGAAGGCAGGGTAGGAGGGGTATTTGGTTGGTAACGGAAGCTGAGGGCCAGAGTTTCAAATTGTACCCACAACTCGATTGGTAATACACGGGACGGACGATGATCAAGCCGTGATGTCCGCCGTTTATATAGTAGAATGTAGTTAAACTGCCGTTCTTTCTATTCTCTGGACCGGACTTGTACCTTCGCTTTTTCTGACTTGTTGTTGTTATAGTCTGGACTCCTAGAGATTAAAGATCGACAGACATTCGGATAACAAGAGCCTTTCCCGGCCATTATTACCGATAATTACCGAGCAGATATGGGAAAGTAACTAGCCAGTTCGGGGAAAGTTCGGCCGCTGACGTCACTGGCACCAAGGTGGAAACTTGTACTGGAAATCTTCAATAAAAAACTGCAATCTGGTCTCAGTGTGCAACTTACATTCAAACATCTTCCCAATTTCTTGTCATGTCTATCTTCTACGATGCCAGGCCCCACGAAAGTCACCTTCACCTCCTTTATGCTGCAAATTAGCGGCGAGCTCCACCCACCGGCTGCTGTGGTGATCAGCCATCCTATGACAGGCGTCAAAGAACAAACAGCCACAACCCATGCCCGACTGCTCTCGAAGGCCGGGTTCTACGCCCTCACCCTCGACGCAGGGTACCAAGGCGAAAGCACAGGACAGCCCCGGGGGCTGGAAGACCCTCATAAGCGAGTCGAAGACAACAAGGCAGCTGTGAGCTACTTGACCTCACTGGAAGGCAAAGTCGACCCCAGCCGGATCGGCGTCCTTGGGATCTGCGCCTAGGGCGGCTATACTTCGATTGCCGCGCAGTCAGATAGCCGCATCAAGGCACTCGCGACCGTGAGTACCGCCTGCGTTGGCCGGATGACTCGCAATGGTGGCCTTTCCAAGGAGAACAAGAAAGAAGTTCCCGACGCCATTGCCGGGGCACTTGACGCGGCCGGCCAATGGCGGACAAGCCTCGCGAGAGACCCCAAAATCAAAGTACCGCCGATGTTTGGGACCGATATCTCACAAATCCCAGAGGATGTCGACTCCTTCTTCAAAGATGCTGCCTTATACTATGGGTCCGAGCGTGGAAACCACCCTCGTTCAGATCAGAAGGTCCCCCCATCCAGCTTCGATCTCGTGGTCAGCTACGACTCGTTCAACTTCCAACACCTGATATCTCCAAGGCCTCTGTTGATGATTGCTGGATCGAAGGCACAGACTCTTCACTACAGCGAGGGAGCAGCCCGGGAACCTAGGGAATTGTTGGTCATCGATGGAAAAAGCCACTTTGATCTCTATGACGACTTGGAAGTGTCGGGCCCGAGACTTGTGGATTTTTTAAGCAAGAATCTGTAAATAGATGTGTAATATTCGCTTGTACGTTTGCATTGAAACGCTAGAAACGTCCTCACATCCAGACTATTGAGAAAGGAAGACACCATTGATAGGGACTCCAAGCTGGTTTTAATAGCCTAACATGCCAGAGAATTCTAACACCACAATCCCTTCTGTTTTTATTTGAAAACACTAATAATTGAAGATTGCTCATCAAAATTTGCTAGGCCATAAGTACGAAGTAAATTTTACTTTCTTTGGTACAAATGATCCATGTGATCCGTGTGGTGTCGGTGCAATTACTGTTCGACTTCCTCAATTCCCTCCGCTAACGCCTCCTCCATACTCGTCCAATCATCTCTCCCAAAGTACTCTTTAAGCAAGGCCGCCGCTCTCTTCGCCGGCTTGATGTCGCTTAGATCACGACCCTCGTTCTCCGGCGCGTCCGGCAGCTGGGCCTCTGGACGAAGCTTGTGCAAAATGGCAAGCACCTCCGTCCAGTTGAACGGGCCAGCGAAGGAGAAAATGCGTTCATCGTGAATAGCAGGAGCCAGTAGGGCAATGGCATGGTGTCGAGCAATATCTCGCACATGCACGTACCACTCTAGGGCGCGGCTCGTCAGGTCTGCCAGTTTGATCGAAGTTAAGTGGTGACTTACGAGGTGGAAATGTCTTTATCGCAAAGTCATCTCCTTTAAGAAGATTTCGTGTCCAGCCCATTGTTGATCCCGGGATCTGTGGGGCGAGGATACGCCCCCACTAACTTCTATTAGCAATGTTGTTTAGTGACGGTATGGTCGAAAAGTCCCTACAGCCATGTTAGGAAGAACGGCGTTGAAGACAAACCCCGGGCTTGTTCTTCTTGATCCACTTCCAAGCTTCACGTTCACCCTCTGTCTTAGATGCCGCATAATTGCTGAAACCCTTTGCTTCAGGAGGAGTGCTATCACTCCATGCAGCCACTACAGAAGCGTCGTTCCAGGTGTCATTTTGGAGGTCAGTGGTGATTTCGGACAAGATGCGTAGATATTTAACACATACCTTCCGTTACTACAACCTTCTTATTCAGGGGCGGTAGAAGTGCAGCAGTTGAGGATGAGGTTAAAACAAATCGCTTCACTGAAGAGTGCTTGGAAGCCGCCTGCAGTGCATTGATAGTTGCGGCGACAACAGGTGTTACAACTTCGTTCGGATCCGAGCTGAACGACACGACAGACGCCTAAACGGAATAAGTTTGTTTCTGATATAACTGGCGGCGGTGTAGCTCTTACCACGTGTACCACGCCGGCCACATCTGCTAATGCAGATTCGAAAGCACCGGGCGCTTCTAACGAGGGTATGATGACAGTTTCAAATTGACCTTTGCCATACTTCTTTTCGAATAAAGCATTCAGCCAAGGCTTGTTCTCACGAACAGTCCCCCGAACAGCGTAGCCAAGTTCCAGAAGAAGGTCGACAATGTGGGAGCCAATGTAGCTGTTGGCTCCTGTAACGAGGATTCGAGATCCCTTGGGGATTGCTAGGTTGTCGGAAAGCATCCTGCCGAGAAAATATAGTTATACGTAAGACGATACCCAGATAATGAGTTTAACATCAACTACATGAACCCAATGTCGGCAGCGCTCGGGATTCTTATTCTAGTGGGCATACATTGATCATAAGTTGAAGCGTTTAGCACTTTTTGGAGCTGTTTCTCTTGCAGAGTCTCTGTGCTCAAAGTTTGTGATTGATAATACAGAATTTGACCTAATCTCCGACTAATTTGTAATCAAGTGTTGGGGGCAATCAGGGTATGGATGATCTAAGGGTGCTACGAAATGTCAGGGAGCATTCATCAAATGCAAGGTCCAATTATTCGTGTACGAGTAAAAGAATATATGTCCCTGATCTTTGTCTCTCGGCGAAACGGATACTGAATGGTTATATTATCAACTGACTTAACGGGAGCCGTTGTTCCAGGATGTGTTCCATTGTCGGAAAAACAGACAGTATGGGCGAAGCCACTGTGTCAAGTTTGACAACCTGGAAACACAGAGTGCTGGCCCACTGCCATCCCAGACAACAGCTATCTCCGATTCCTACAGCCATATGTCATCAGGATCCTCTCTCGCGATATCTCAACGATTGTCATGAACCAACCATATAGGGCGAGCCCAGTGGGGCGCAGTCAGAGCAGCACAACCAATAGAACCAGAGCAGGATCGGGCTGGCTGTAGGAAGGGCGGCCCGAGGTAACAACGGTAACCCCGGGTATGTCATGTGTGTGACCACCGGCAGGAGTAGGTGGGGCACAGCAGCTACGAGCAGACCAATCAACATTCAGGAAGCATCATTGGCGGGACAGGATCGAGAGCGAAGCCCGCGATCCGGCCCTGGCCAATCACAGATGAATTATAAGATCGAGGCACGACGCTATAATCCTGGATTATAAACTCGAGAAGATATTCCTCGATCCAGGAACCAAGGTACATACGAAGGCATCAGGATGTCTCCTTACAGTAGATAGATAAATAGGACTCACTGTGAGGAACTGGCCCTATGGCGGAATGCAGATAGGCGTTTATTATGTTAATTGA